GTTTAAGGACTTGAGCAAGATCAAAAACATCATTAAAGAATCCACGTGATTTTAAAATATTTTTGACAGATTTTCCTAAATAAGTTTGGATTTTGTTCTAAAATCTAAAAAATAATTTTTTGAAATTAATTTAAAATTTTCATATAATTTTACCTCTTCAAGACATGATTTAAGGTAATATACTGATGATGTGCATTCATAAACACTTGTCCAACGGGTTTTAACATAGCTCTTTAATCCACCACCTCGGATTCCTTTATAATTAATCAATTTTAATAACAAAGCATGTATTCGGTGTGATTTATTAAAAAAAGTAACTACAATTGAATATTTTCGACGAATTTTATCTGCAAAATTGTGTTTTAAAATATCACCTGATATTAAATTCAAGCAATGTGAAACACATCGCAAGTTTAATATATGTTGATATTGAGTAGTGATAAGTTGATGTGCAACTTCACAATTAGAGCCTCCATCTGTAACCACTGCACCAAATTTTTCATCAAAAACTTGTTGGATACAATCTTGAAGTAATTCTCCCATGTGACTTTGATCAGATAAATCCATTAATTTCCATTAGCGGAGTTTCGGCAGGTTACACGCTAATTGTTTATTAGAGTTTCGGCAGAGTTTTGGCAGTCATTAAGAGGTTTGGCAAGCAACCTTACATATTATAAAACAAAAATGCATTATTCTGAAGCAACTTGATCATTTGATCATTTTCCACACACATACTGAGAACATAGAAAGCAAAATATACACGTTAAAAAAATACATCTCAGGTTAAACAAGTTTTTGTGCGCAGTCACGCGACTTTTTTCTATTCTAATATATACTAAATTCAATTAAAGTCATATGTTTCACAACATAAAAAAGATCAACGATCGATTTTGTCACGAATGTCCACTATGCTATCCACAATATGGTGTTGGCATAAATTAGTTCGTGAAAAGGGTTTAAAAAAGTATCCGACCACCCCGTAATTTTATTATATAAAACACTTAATAAAGTTGACAAAATGCAAATTTTAAAGTTTTCATCCTAAATTCATTAATAATGCAAACTTGACAAGACTTTAAGTTTATATGCAAATTAACTTTTTACTTGATGCACCAGTCCCGGTTTGATTAATAAAATTTTGAACTGCATAAGGCGTAACATTTCCGATTATTAAAATGATCATCAGGTGGTCGGATATTTATGGTAGAATTATCTAGAAATACAATCGACATCCTCAAAATGATTCATATTCAGTACTACGGAATTTGAGCCAAAGATGCAATACGCACATGTATGCCAAAAACAAGGCGAATAAAATTTTATCGAACTACATAAATTATTCTCTTCAGATGATGTGAAACGTTTTATCGATGAAGTTCAATCTAAAAACGAAAGAAAAGAATTCAATATAGCAGTATGTCGAAATGTAACACCAGCAAGCAAACACTAAAGGTGAGTTTAAGGCAAACTTGGGAATAAAATATCACAATAGTCTTACTGACAATTCTATCAGGAGCATCGTGTGGCCGGAATAGAAATTGAGAATATACGCAATGTGTATGTGAATGAAGTTACTATCTCTACTGATAATACAATCAAACTCATTTACATCATGTATTGAAATGTGTATTTAACCTTTTCTTTATGGTACGGAATTAATAATAGCTTTGAAGTGGAAGTCATATCCCTCTCAATCCGAAAGCAGAAATAAGAGAACTACAATTGATCTGAATAATCAATCGGAATCTGATAGTGAATGGTATTATGAAGACTCGGTGGAGAGTGAGAGTGTCAAAGATCTGCATTCATAATTTCCTCGGGAAGAAGTAGATATCTTTAATGCTCCGAAAATTGAGGTAATCCTAGTTTCCACTATACCGTTAATGTGTTTTTATGTCACTTATTGGGACTAAGAGCAAGTTTGGTCTGTTACTGAAAAGTTTAGAGACGAAATTGAGCTTGGAAAATTATAACATTATTTGTCTTTTCGATGTCGAATTTCCTTACACGAAACAACTCTTTAAAAAATTACCAATGGATCAGATGTGCATGATAAAGAATAAATGGTCAGAGGTAAATTTATCTTTTGTGCTTAGATGAGAGTTATGAACAATGAATTGATAAAAACATTCTTTTAATAACAATGAGGCCGAAGAATTTATTAGTAAAAAAGAGATTGAAGAATGTTGGAACGAGTGCTCATTAAAAAAACTTGTGGATGATAACCACCGAATCATCAAAGAAAGTGGAAATGAAGATCTTAATTCGCTTATAACACCGTTTACGAAACAGCAATTTAACAAATATGAGCATCGACAAACTTACGAATTGTTTTGGTGTCAGGATTTTTATACACGGATGTAAGTTTCTTTTATATTGTTGCGACTGCTAAATGAAATAACCGGATTTTCTTATACCAGGGTTCTCCAATTTTTGCGTAGACATAGTGCTTTGTTAGATAGTAGTTCTAGCGAATATCAGTATCGAGATGAAATCGTTAACATTCTTCTGGCATCAATTTTTTACGATGTTGAAGATGCTCTGTGGATAAAAACGTAAGCGACATTCCTAAATTTGCAAATCTAATCCTAATTATTAATAATAATAAACTAAGAAGAATTTTAAAATGATTCAAGAAAACAACAACCAAACAAGAGAATGAACGTGAAAGACTTGGAGATAAACACGATGGCATCCTATACATGAATGTATGTGGTGTAAACGTTGGAGTTGGATTTATCGAAGTAGTGGGCAATGCATTTAACACTATAACATCTGATAAAAATGATGATTTAGAGAAATTATTAAAAGGTATATATGTAATTCCAGTCATTTGATGAAACATGACATCCAACATCCAACTAGTTCTATTTCTCTTAATCGTAGCAATGACGATATCTCTTTGGTATCAGTATGCACACCAATCTAATGGGAATACCTCGAAATTGCAATTATTTGCTGTATTACTTTGTGGTAAGTGGTTTATACAAGCCTTGATGATTTTTTATTCAAAAAACCGTGATTAACTTGATCATTTTGAACAGGACGTGAATTTCGTTTTTTAAGTATGCATTTGATTGGTGACATGTACGTTGTTGATGAATATGATGCTTTTGTCATACCAGACTCTGGATTGAATCTTTTACATGTTGGAGATATTGTCAAAATAGTAAAGAAATTTAAAGTAAGTTCTGTTGTTTTAATCCCGCAAAGAGATGTTTATGGTTCTTTACTTCATCACATTCATAACATTTTTGTAAATACATACGAATGATCAAATATTGTCATAAACTTATTCAAGAGCCACGTATAGTGACTCGGCATACAATCTCAGGATTACCAACTGCTTCACAAGAAAAATCAAAATGAATAATTTTGCGTTGAGCAAATAAATGTATTTTATGGCATTAAAAGGTACAATAATTGTTTCATGGACTACTAGCTGGATGCAAAACTAATTTTTATCAATAAAGCATATCAGAAGTACTCGCAATATTTATATATAATGATAATAAACTGGTAAAAATTATAAAGATTTGTGCGTTTTTATTTTATTAAAACATCGATTTTTGCCTGATATGGTGGATTATGCGAAATGTGTGCATCAAAAAATATATACTATCTAACCACGATTAGTATGCTAACTTGACTAAATCTGATTTTTGACCGATCAATTTTGTGAAATGGTCATAGTTGATTAAAAATTGTGATTGTTCTATAATCTAAACTACATCAGTGAATAAGCCAGTCATTCTGTTGATCAGTGTATGAGCAAGTATCCCTATACTTTTGATCAGGAAGTGTATTTGGAATTAGAACTTTCAGATTATCATAATTATCATCCAATTCTGTTGTAAGATCATAAACAAACAAAATAAAATATTATTAATTATTGCAATCAATCCAATGATAATATAAAATACATACAATCAACATTAGCATCAAATTCAACTTCTATACTATTATTTGTTCTTGATTCAATTCTTTTTTGTTTCACTTTTAAATGTGAATTTACTGATTCCAATTTATCTGGGTTAATGGTTGCAAAGTTTTCACAATTAATTAAGTGTTTACCAATAGACGAAACGATATTAGAAATTTTTAATTGTGTAGCATTATGTAAAGATCATTCCCATCCTTTTATTTGTATGCAAACTTTGCAGATAGCTAAACAATTACTTTTATTAACCATTATCTCTCTTTTTGTTACAACATGTTTGCAAAACATGCAAAAGTTTTCCACCTATGCGACTACTACTCATTTTTAAAAAAAACCTTTTGTATTATAATTAATTGTGGGAACAGGGTGAAATGGTTATATGATCTGGAGACATGTACAAAAAAAAAAAAGATAATTATCGTGAAAAATTGACATCATTCAAGCTTTGTCATAAAGTTTGACTCAAAAGAAAGAAGACTATAGTGGCGGTAACATTACTCATATTTATTTTATTATTATAGGTAAATATAGATATTAAAAATAAAATTTACACAGATTTTTCATTGGTACCAGTGGTTCCGTGTAGCAGTTTCAGTGGTTTCCAAACTGTTCGTGTTCCAGTGTTTCAGTTCTCATTGGGAACCAGAAATTTCCCAACCCTGGTGTCACCAATTTTTGATCCCCGTGACTTTGGTTTTGTTGCAATATATGCCCGTTACATAATCACCAAATCACAAAAAAATTTTCATCAATCAATCGATCATTTTTTTAAAAAATGTTGGAACTTTATACTTGGGGAGAAGCTTTGGGATTAAATTCGATTGATCCAAAATGTTCAAGTATCATTGCGTACTTACAATTATTTGTACAAGAAGAATGGGGCGTTGTTGAATGCAATAATCCAAATATATCTCCAACTGGTAATTAATTAATTTTTCTTCAAAAAATCAATTAATACACATATTTATACATATATATTTGTAGGTGAATTACCATTGTTAAAAGATGGTTTAGAGTGGATATCTGGGACAAATAAGATAATCAAATATTTAAAGAAAAAGGTTTGATTATATCATTATTTTTATAGATTAGTAGCAGTGCTGCCAGTCAGTGCACTTTTTTTTTGTTGGTAATATGTTAATTTATAAAATACAGATCTCTATTTTTACAATATTTTAATATGTATACATAAATATATATATATATATAATATATAATATGTAAGGGTTATGATGCTGATGAAAATTTGTCGGATAAACAACAAGCTGATAGTATCGCGTAAGTATCTTTACTATTAATATTATTATTTTGTGTTAAGCATCATTGAATAATAATAATCAAATTAAAAAATAAAATTGATTTTTTTTTTTAGTTTCTTATCATTCATCCAAGAAAGATTATATGATTGTTTGGTAAGCTGTTGATTATTATTCTATACTTAATCTTAAAAAAATTTTCATTAAACAGTCTCTCCAATATATATATATGTGTGTATTTCACTCTAATGTTTTATTTGTTTGTATGTATCAAATTTAAATAGTTATTCTCATGGTATGCAGATGATAGAAATTATACAGACAAAATTCGTCCATTATACGCGAAACTTGTTTCGTTCCCGATGTCTTATTTCGTATCAAGACAATTAAGAAAAAATGCTAAAGAAAGATTAAAGAAGTATAATGTTGTAACTTTTAAAGATTTCGGTGTAATCGTTAACAACAAAGATAAGGTTTGAACATCTATTAATTGATTCTATATTATATGATTTACTATTTAAAAAAGAATATTAATTATTAGGTATTAATTGTTTGTAATAGATGGATAAAATTATAAAAGATTGTTATAAAGTATTACAAGATAAAATTGATTCAAATGACTATTTTTTTGGAAATAAGTAAGAATTTTTGACTAATTCATTATCAACTATTAATTTTCTTGTTTCCTTCACTTACGCACGCATACACACGCTCTCTCTCTCTCTCTCCATATATGCGTTCTCTATGTAGTTTATCTACATTGGATGTTTTTTTATATGGATATCTGGCGCCTCAACTATATCCTGATCTACAAAACCAAAGTCTATCCACAACCATAACCACTCAATTTCCAAGATTACAACAATTTTGCGATCGTGTAAAATCAAATTTATCCGAAAATAATCAAATAATAAACAAATTGCCAATTCCAAAAATTGATTTATCAACCATTTTTACTACTACTACCGGTTCATTTAGATCTCCACGTTCATGGTTCGCTAATTGGTTTACTAGTACAACAACAACATCTACTACTAGCGGTATTAATAAACCTGAGAAATCAGAGGCACAAAAAAAGTTTGAAAGAAAAAGAAATTTAGCAATTATAGGTGCTGTTTTATTTATGATTATTTATGTGATTCGTAATGGAATTGTGTCTATAGAATTTGTTGATGCTAATGATGACGACGACAATGATGGTGATGATGATGATGATTATGTTTATGTTGAGGACGAGGAAGTAGATGACGATGAATAAAAATTAATGTAATGATAATGATGGTTAATAAAAATAATGTTTAATTTTAGTATAATATATAAACTCCTTGCTTCGAAAAAATTGCATCTTTGTATTTTTCTTCTTTTGAAAATTACATTAAACAAAACAATGTTTCTTTCTTAATAGATTAATGGATACAAATATTAAATATTGAATAATAATAATAACAATAATAATAAATCAACTAATCAAATTAATTATTCATATCCATGAGGACCAAAATGAACTTGTTTCAATTTAAAAACTTGACCACATTCGGTGCATCGATCAAATTCATGATCTTTATCAACAGATATCCAAACAGCTTCATGAGAATCAACAGGAAATCCTATATATTTATATATATATAACTTAGTGGTGAAAAACAATATTATACATATTATATGTATTAAAAATTTTTTACTATTATTACCAGTGCATGCAACCAAACGATGAGTGTCAACGGCTTTCACTATTACAGGATTAGTTTTTGTACCAAAACTGGCAACAGGCAAAGGGTTTTCATCAAATATATCTACGCCATCTAATTTTGCAAGTATTTCTAAACGTTCTAAACCAGTGGATTGTTCAACTTCTGAAGGAACTGTACCAGGTTTTGCACCTTCACCAAATAATTTTGGTGCATGATCTATTAATAATAATAATAATTGTTAATAACTTGTTTGCAATTGATGATAGTTGTAACAGTAATATCCACAATATATATATATGCATGCTCCTTTAAAGGGTCTAATTCCAGGGAATCAATTAAAAATTGTACTATTGCAAAAGTGCGCGTGCGCAGACACACACACACACACCTTCACTAAAACGAGGTCCAAGAGCAGAAAAAGTTCTAACAACAGATCTTTTCATTAATTGTTGTTGTGTTTGTGGAGAGGAGGCTGCAACAACAGCACAAGATTTATTAACTACTGTTCTTAAAGCACAACGAATAGTTGTAGAAAACATGTTTTTTTTTTTTTTTTTGATATATATATATCAATATTATTATTATATTTGTAAAAAAAAAATTTTTAAATGTTACATCAAAAAACTTATGATTGTCATCATTACAAAAAAATTCAGAATAAAGTAAAAAACAAACATCACGAAGGATTAACCAATCAAAAAGTAATATCTTACTGTTATTAATTAACAGAGGTGCCAGATTAATCTAAGAAACAAAATGATAGTTATGATGGATAGAAAGGTGAGTGAGGGTGTGAGGGTGGGTTAACTAATGCACACATTTTGGAGGTAACTTTATCATAAAAGAATTTATTATAGCCAGCCAAAGTCGATTATTGTATCAAGGGTCTTAAATAAACATGTAAACTTAATTTTATTATCATTATTTTTTATAATCAAAAAACCAGAATATCTTAATATTTTTTTTGCTTATTACAACCACCACCATAACAATAAATATAAAATTTTCTTTAATTTCTTAAAAAAAGATTAAAAATACATTACGAATAAATGAAAAAGTTTTTGTCGCGAGTTACATAATTAAATTAATTTAGAATAATAATAAAGTTCAAAGACCAAGATTTCTCAAAAATTCTATTGATAACCTTAAAACTTCTTGAGGTTTTTCATCCTGGGGAAGATGACCACATTCTGCTATCCCTTTAAATTGTAATATGGCATTAGGTGGTGAATTCGATCTTAAATCTTCAAATATCTGTTGATGGTTTTCAAAACTTGTATATTTATCATTTTCGCCTGTTATGTATAAAATTGGTAATCTTTGTAGGATGTGTTTATGTGGTAGAATTTCAAGTGGAATAAAGTATCTCATTATGTATGATGCTGCTTCGTAAAAATTTGGCAGGGTTAACGGCGTTCTATAACAAGGTTTAACCACAGTTTCCCAATCGCTAATTGTGTTTACATCATTATATAATGCTAACATTGGAAGGTTTTTATATAAAGCTGCTTTAAGAAACAATCTTCCAGGAAATGTCCCTAAAATTGTACACGAGATTGGTGGTGGACCTAACCATAAAAGTAAATTTTTTATAATTATTCCGTTAAATTAAATTTAAATATAAATAAAAAATAAAAAATACCTTGATCTTCAGCTTTTAAAGATGGGGCAATTAAAATTAAAGCATAAACAATTTGTGGATATTTTATTGCAACATAAGAAGAAATTGCAGCACCAGCAGATGATCCCATAAATACAAATCTCCTGCCACCATAACCAGTACTTGATAAGAACTTCAAAAGAAATTCACACGCAGCTTCTTGTGTGTATGGATTTTTTCCTTCTTCCCATTGAGTTATTCTCTCAGTAAAACCAAAAGCAGGCCTATCGTAAGCTATAACATGACAGCCTGTAGCATCTGCTAGTGGTTGCATCTGATGTTTCCAAGTGTAAAGATTTCCAAATACTTGATGAAGACACACAATCACAGGCTTGTTATGATTAACATTGTCTTCAAGTAATCCATGTTGATTTCGAGGAGTTGATAGTTTATAAAATGTTTGAATACCGTCAACAACCACAAACTGCCCATCTCGATCAACGGATGAAATAGATTCAAGAAAAACTCTTTGGATAGAAGGAAGTGACATATATGCTAAAAAAAGATGGAAGTTTTAAAAAATTATATTTTATATTTCTTAGTGGAATTTTAACGTAATTTAATTTGATCGTTTTAAAAAAAAAAGGTTAATATTTATAATATTTATTTAATTTATTTATTTGTACCGACCGGATTAATTATATCTAATTTTATAATTTTTTAATTTTATTCGTACTCACAAGGTCTTTTACTGGTTTGTTTAGCAGGAGATTCTAGAATTTTAATACAACTCCCTTTAAAGAAATTAAAAAAAGTAATTTCCTCTTTTTAGTGAAATTTGAAAATTATGTTAGCCAATCAAAAGGAATTTCGCGCCCCAAACACTCAATTTAACAAAAAGTCCCAAAAAAATTTTGTGGCACTAATATTTATATTTTTATATATTTTTATATAATAAATTGGATAAATTATTTACACAATATGAACATTTAAATTTAGCAAAATAAAATATGTTTTGTGATAGGGTGACTTCACCATCCAGTGAATGAATTTTTGTCGATGTTTAATAATAGATAATTATCAATCACCATAGTAGGTAAAAGAAGTTTTTTGAATAGAGATCTGGACCATTTTTAATAAATAAATAAAAGTTAACATTAATGGAATAAAGGAGATACTATAATGGCAAAGGAACTGGGACCTTTCTTTTAAAACGATTGTGTTCTATTGATTTGTAATGTAAGCATCTTTTTTTATAATGAAACTGTTTGAAGATGTTCTAATAAGAAAGAAGTGCATTTACTTACATATGTTTGACATGTGAGGCTGAAATCGATAGAGCGCTTTGACCTTGTGTTTCGTGCTTAATAAAAATTCAACACATACAATTCAAAAAAACTTTGAGAATGATCTATATGAATAGTCGTAGTAGATATATAGTTTTGCATGTGAATTTTCAAGAGAAATATTTCCAAGACGTTAAAATAATTTAATTACATTATTTTATATCATAAAGAACATTCCATCGCTCATACAAAATTTAACCACCAAATGGATAATATATTATATTGTGTAAAGGTGTCAATGAAATTACATTTTCTGCAATTTAAAAAGTTGTGTACAATATTATTAGTAAGGTGGTTGTGATTTGACCTTAAAATAATTCGTTTTTATATAATTTTGTAGATAATTAATTATTTGTTTTCCATTTAAGGGTAAATAAAGTAGTGCATTTTTAAACAACATGAAGTGACTAAACTTTTTTATTAAAAATTCGAGCAAAATGTAATTAATAAGCAAACAATCTGACCAATTGATTGGTTACGAACTGATCGAATGCTAATATTTAATAAATGAGATGACTTTGAATCGTGTTGTAAAGCCAAAAATACGTGTAGCAAAAATCTTCTAGACAATGACGCAAACTTGTAAAGTGTGCTGTCTCAAGATGTTTGACTGATTGTCGATAATCATAAATTGTTGGATGATTAACTATTGATCTTTAAAAATGTGAATATTGATGATTTAATTAGCGAAAAAGAGAATGAGAATATATTTGTTTATTAATTTACTTGTTTAATTTTCCACGCGTCGTATAAAACCTTGTAATACTCTCGAGAAACATGAAAATATTATTTTCTATACGAGATATTTCCGTTGTAATATCTTTATATTAAGTATTTATATATATTAATTATATTATATTATATTATATTATAAAAATGTAACGAGAATTACAATAACAATTACCATCTTGCATAGCAGATATAATCGATTCATTGTCGTTGTTGTTGTTGCATTTGAAACTAAAAAAAGAAATTTTTTGAATAAAATTTAAATTATTATTATTATATAATTATATAATATGTATGATAAACCTTGGAATTTTCAAAGTAATCCAAACTCTAATCTTGCAACAATATATCGAAAGATGATGCGCTTCTTTTTCCAATAATTCATGCAATTCTTTGATTCTCAAATATTTTTTTTCTTGAAAAATTGTATTGTCATTAATATTAATGATGTTTTTACTATTGGGAAATGTATTTATATCTACAGATTCTTGGCTCATTCGAATAATAGATTCTTGACTTTGGTCAATTTCCTCTTCAAATTTATCAATCGAATCTTTTCTGGGTCTTTTCCTTGAATTTTCGACATAACCTTTGTTATAAATATTGTAAAGATCTTCACTATTATTGTGATTCTTATTATTACCGCTGTTGCTACTGTTATTATTATCATTGGTTTCGTTTTTATCATTATCATTTTTTGTAAAGTCCATATAATAATCTTTTTGGTGAAACAATCGATTTAATTCAAGAATTTTATTAGGAATTATCTTATCAATAATTTCTTTAACTTCTTTCGAAAATTGTTCATCAAATCGCCGTAAATTGGTTTGTAAATCAACTTCTATCTTTTCATTATTATTATCGTTCGATCTTGACATTTTTTAATAAAACGATAGAAAACTAGAAAATCAATTAATTTATTAATATAAATACAAATATAAATATGTAATCTATAAAAGAATTTTTGATTATGTCATTTCAAAAAAAAACAATCAAAAATTATGTATATAGAATCCCCAAAATTTAAAAAATTCGAAACCGTTGATTTAAAACCACATTACTACCACGAGAGAATTAAAGCATTGACATAATAATAATAAAAAATTACGTGCGAAAATCGAGCGCATAAGTTTTTAATGATCGATGATAATGGACAACAATATATATATAAAAGTAATAGAAAGAAACAAAATAAATACTAACATGATCTGCACATTACTAAATTTGGTCTGTCATATATTAATTTTTATTAAACATGTCAGAAGAAAATTCAACATTTTGTAATCTTCTTTATGTAGTCGATCAACCGTTTGAAAACATTGCAGTTACTTTCAAGGGCCTTGTTCCTGAACAGAATAGGTTTCAAGCCGCATGTACATTGATGGCATTATTGGAAAGTAGTGAATTACAGGTTTGTTTGTTGGAGGTTTTTTTTTTCAAAGAAGGGAGACAAATAATTTTTCTTACAAGATATATTTTTTTTAAAACAAAATTCATGTAGGCAAAACAAAGAGTTGTTGCACTCTATATTCTCTACAATTTATACAACATAGTTCCTATACTTGATAATCCCTTTCTTTTATTATTCCTAAATCTTTATAAATCACATTCCTCCAATTTATCATTAGTGAAATCAAATGGCGATTTACTTGTTGAATATCTAGTTGAGTCATTAATTTTATCGGATAAAGCAAATCAGGTAAAAACTTTTTCCCATTTTTTTATTTTCTTTTTTTTTTAATTTTTCTAAAAAAAAAAAATCTTTAGCTGGCAGATAAAACACCAATGGATGTATATAAACAATTTTCAAATGTTGAAGATTTATCAATAATTAATGCAGAAGAGATAAATATTGCAAATTTTGAGAATCATATAAAAAGTGAATTTGAAATACAATTACCATCATCATTAATATCAAGAATTGAAAAATTAGAAAGGTATATTAACATATACACTTACACACACACACACACACACACACACACATATATATACACACACATTTATAATATTAATTTATATATGTGTATGGCAAATAGTCAGAATGAAAACAAACAAATATGGCCATGGAGTATTCCTGAATCAACAAAATTCCATGAACCCTCTTCCTCCTCCTCTTCTTCCTATACTACCATTACATCCCCATCTTCTTCTTTAAACAATCCAATCATACATAATAAAGTAATTTTACAAAATTTATATTTGTCAAGTTCTCGGATTTAGATTAGATTATTTTTTAATTTACTGTTGAAAAAAATTATGCTCTTTTTTTTTTATTTAGCCACAAAATATCAGTTCAGATGAAAATGAGACACAGGCTGAGTGGGACTATGTGATGAATGAAGAAATATCGGATCAGAAAAGAATTGGTTTATTAATGAACAAAGCATTCCAAACAGCTTTATCAATACGTGAAGTGGAGGTTTGTGTTTACAGTTTACATACAATTTAAAAGATATGACAATAATATATTTTTTGGATTTCAATGAATTTAATTAATTAATTAATTAAACCATCAAATTATAATTAATATAGTATGTCTTGAATCAATTTGGAAAGTGTATTGATTTAATTTATGATTGTGAACTTTCACCAGAAAAACTTCCTAATTTAGTTGAAAATAATCCCAAGATTGCTGTTGAAGTATTATTATTGCTCAAATCCTCTTCTCAGATTGACATGTAAACAATTCTTTTCTTAAATAATTCTTGTTTCAAAATAATAATAACCATAAGTGTCATTATTAATCTAAAATTTTTTGGTAGATATTTGGAAACACTTTTAACTATTAATATGTCACTTCAATCGTCTGCAGAAGTGATGAATCGAATGAGATCATCCATGGAAGTTATTAATAGATTAACTACTTCAATAGTAATTCCTCCCGAACTTATACACAAGTTTGTTACTAATTGTATAGATGCTTGTGGAAAAGATAAAAATATTCAAAGTAGACAAGTTCGTTTGGTAATATATAATTATATATATATATATGTTGTGCGTGAATTTATTGAATGCAATTTTCTAACTCTTGATTTTTTTGCATATATAATAATATTATAGGTGTGTGTATTTCTTTTATCCTTGTTTCGTAATAACATAATTGATCCCAATGAATATTTTATAGAGTTACAAGCATTTTGCATTACATATTCACGAATAAGAGAAGCAGTTGAACTATTCAAATATATTGGAGAACTTAATAAAGATGTTGTCAGTGATGAATTAAATTTCATTGATGGTATCATTATCGGATAATAAAGAATTAAATTTAAATTTTGTTACAATTAACAGAAATAATAATACTAATAACCATTAGAAATTCTTAAATTTGATTTTACTATATTCTTTATTATCTTTGTAAATTTTAATTGTAATATAGAGTTACTTATTATTCAAATATTTATTTAATACAAGCGCTTACATATGGGACTTGCTGCGACATAATAATAATCATAACTAATAATGCCACAAAAATTTGCAGGGTCTAAATTTTAATGACTAGCTAGTGGCCCCAATAAAGAATATTATATAAATACTGTTATTTTTATTTTGGTCTGCAAAGTAGGTATGATCTCTAAGCCAAAAAATATTATACTTAAAGAGTTACATATAAGTGCGGTATCATGATTTCATTTCTGTTGAAAAGGCCAAATGTCCAATTAGACAAATCATTCAACAGAACCATTATAATTATTACTCTTTGTATACGCGTAACTTTTTTCAATTATTTTCAAAGTGAATTTATTTATACAACTGCTTGTTACACATTCTAAATTTATTTGAATTATCATGTGACCTACCCGGCAGATTTTTTCTTCGTCTTGGAGGAGTTCAAATTAATAATTGCTTCTCTGTTTTCTTCAGATGATATGTTAATTGCATCTAAATATACTTGTTCAATTGAGTATTTTATCTTAAAATATTTGAAGAAGCTGCCGTTCTTCCCCAAACATCTCTATATTCCTGTTGCATCCTTTCCCAGGCACTTTCCCATGATTTCAAGTTATTGTAATGTTGACTATATTCTCCTTCCAGTGATATTTCATGGCACACTTGATATAATAGGTTTCCAAAGCCTCCATTACATCGATTTCTTCTTCGGTGCAATTTTGGACATTAATATAATGTCGTACCCCTTGGGGTATGTGGTGGAATTGATTTACTGAAACTATTGCTAAACAAGCGTATTTACAAATATTAGTGCACACGTCATTTTGGTAACCTATGTTGACTTTATTCTCCACCGGTTTTTCGCACACTTTGCAAGGTTTTCCAAGACCAAGTTTCTCGCAGATAGCGTTTTTCCAACATGAGTTACATAATTGGTGGCCGGGAGTAAGAATAGCCACATTCTTTAATAGAGTGATCTGCATTGATTTTAAACAAGGATCAGCGGGAAGAGGAGAAACTCTAAACAAAATCTAAAGGTATATATTAAATAAATATTTTTCTTATCTCCCTATGAAAATTTGCATTGTTGAACGAACAATGCAATATCCACATTAATTGAAATATACAAAACGAAAAACGCCATATAATAATGCCTGGGAATGAAGATGAAGCAGTTAAAAAAATGAATAAGATACAGTTCACTCTCTCTATATATAATGGATATAATAATAACGGAAAGCCCAATTTACATGTCCATATATAAATTATTAAACAAGTCCTCTCTATAGTCCACTATATGTATATATATAAATTATTATTATTATTATTATTATAACGGACATTCTTTCCTAACCAAATGGTCCATTATGGAGAAAAAAATTAATATAATGAATATTTTCTAGATGTTAATTAACAAATTTTTAATTTTTAAAATGAATTACTTTGAACTGTGTTGGGCTCTTTGTGAAAAACAAAATTTTTGGAAAGCATGGTGGAAGTAAACGCATGTCTGAGCAAGTAAATCAACTTCTAAGAGCCTATTTTTTGTCAGGAAATGTAGTTAAGAAATGCTTACAGATCTAAAACAAAGAGTAGAAGCAGATGAATTGGATGCAAGTGAGTAACACGTTTTAGTATATAGAGAACATAAAAAAGAGTCAGGGGAGAAAGAATTGGGCGAACCATTGTTTGTATACCCATAATCCCAATCAAGATTAATATTTAATATTATTAATTTATTAATATCAATAAAATTAAATTAATCAAAAATTCAAATTAATTAAAAAATAAATAATGTAATTTAATTTGCTTTAATATTAAATCAATTAATTTTTCTAAAAAAATATTTTGATAAATTTTAAATCATTAATAAAAAGATAAATGTTAAAAATAAATTTTGTATTTATTTAAATCAATTTATTTTTTTATTCAAAGAAAAACAATGTAAAATGAATGATAATAATAACAATACAATTATATCGTTATGTGGAAATAATAATTTTCAACAAAGACATCGTACAACGGCCAGTCAATCTCAATTCTTGGAATCGTATTTTCAAAATGTTGATGATTTCCCCGATTCAAACATGAGAGAGAGAATAGCATTAAACTTAAATATGCCAAGCAAAAGCGTTCATATTTGGTACCAAATAATGTTTGTTTGTTTTTTTCGAGAAAATATAGATTATTTAATGATTTAATTAAATTGTTATCTTCAGGTTTCAAAATAGAAGAGCGAAACGTAAGCAAGAAGAAAGGACTTGCCAAGAACAAGAATCGCTTGATAATTGCAATAATGATCTTAATAGTAACAGCACTGCCCCTGCTGTTAATAATAGTTCTAACAAAACAGCAAATGGAACCAACGACAACGGTAATGATAAATCAGCAAATCAAAGCCAAATTTTTTCATTGCTGCAACGACAATCTCTAGAACAAAAATTAAACAACAGTAATAATCAATTTCTGATATCAGTGATTAATCTAAAAAACAAACTTCCGCCACTTTGTACAAACTCCAACAAAAATTTGCAACAATTACCACCTTTAAGATTAATTCTGCCACCAAAACTATTTAAAAATGATAGTAATTATTATAATGATTATAATTACAATAATAATATTAGTGAATCTTATTTTCCCTCTCATAATAATAATAATCAACAAGATCAAACCCGATGCTCTTATCAATCATATCATCATCATAATTCAGATCCACCAACTCAGCTTCAACCTCCATCAATATTGTCACCATCTTTGCCAATGTCACAACCATTGTCGACAACTACTTTTCTTCACACCTCCAAAATAATACTTCCTGCACTATTAACAGGCACTAATAATTATAGAATTTTCGCGACAAAAGTTAACACAAATGAAAACTTTGAAAAAATCGAGAAAAATGAAAAAAATGAACTAATGAACATAAAGAAATTATTAATTTAAATAAAGGGTTAAATTTTGCGTCTTTCATTATAAAAGTAATAATAAATAAATACAGAATAAATGATTAATATAAATTGATAAACTTCTCCAAGAAACATTAAATGTTAAATAGAATAATTAATGAAATGCAAATGGCTTTTCCTTGTTTAGGATATTTTTCATTGATCAATTGCTCATTTCTTGAAAAATGCTAAATTAAAAGGTATGAAGCAACATAATTACGATGCACAATAACAGAGGTTTTTTTAAAATTTTCTTAACAAAAAAAGGCTTTGGGTCGAAGTTAACAGTATATTTACTGTAACCTCCGGTCTTTATATCTAGATTACCATAATTATTATCGGTTATAATTATCAGTTATTATGTTTGATTTTTGTTAATATTAATAACAAAAAACCATGACCATTTTTTGTAAAATCCCTATTTTGGTTTGGAACCCTCAAAGGTCGATTTTCACAGCATAAACACATGTAATTGATTGAATGATAAAATTATAAATCGTTAGAATCGTCATATATAAAAAAAATATTTTTCATAATCGTTTATGATTAAACAAAAGATTAGAAGGTTAGCTGAAAACATTTGACTTTCTTAATAATTAGTATTATTGAAGGATTAGGGCTCTAGGCATTTATTTAATGTTTAATTGTTAACTTGAAAGCTACTTTTCTACTTGGTCAAATCACTGTCTTTTTATAAAATTTCGTTCACTAATTAACTTCTAATGTTTTGATGACTCAATGTTTTGTTATTATTGCATTATTCATAGTTTTGTGATGATAGTCTTCATCAATTGGTGGTTTGTTTTTCTTCTTGATTCCATATTAATATGTCCCAGGCTGGTCTGCTATAATACTTCTTTAATCTATTTTCGTTGGTTGCTGTTTTCAGAAAATATTTTTCTGTAATTTTGTATACTCCAGATCATTTCTCTCTGAACTTATCTCTGTGGATGTTTTCATGAGAACAGGGCTTGTTCTCCTATTTTAAATTGAACAGGTTTTACTTTCTTATCTTATCTAGTCTTCTGATCCGTTTATGCTTTGTTTATATATTGTTTGTTAAACATTGTCAACTGACGATTTTTGCGACGTCGATCATATAAAATTTGACCGATTCGTTCATTCACAGATCATCAATTAATAAAGGAAATATTAAATAACAGTAAGATAAAGAATTGACTAATTAATCATCACAAAGTAATAGCTATAAAGAATTGTTGATTATTTAATTATTAAAAGTAATAGGTGGATGAAAAAAGAATTGTGTGGATTATTTAATTAACACATGGATAAAGCTCTGAACGGTTCGGCCCAGTTTTTTAGTTTACATTTGACCTAAAAATTTCAGACATTCTAAATTCGTTAGCTACGCAAAATATAGACAATAACTTCAAAAAAAATTATAATAAATTGTGGCTTGGTTTTGGCGAATGTGTGTTGCAAAGTAGAGATGCTGGAAGGATCCTGTTTCTAAATACATACATGGTCTATAATTCTTATATGGTTGGCGACTCCCTAATGCTGCGCTACTCGCTCAAATTTCAAAAATAGCAATTTCGTGATTCGTTCAAAAAGTCGCACAAAATTTAGGAGGTCTTTAGACCGAGCCAACTATGCCATGGTAGCGAAGGTCCATTTCTTACCAAATCAGAATGGAGACCATGATTGAATTTTATCCATTTCATACATAATACCATGTTTAGATACAACTGGCCAGTTATGAATTATTTATTTTATCGTTACATATTCATAATGTACCACAAAAATTTGTAGGTTTAGTTTCTATTCGTAATATATACAAAAATTCTTATTCGAATTACTCGTTTATTCGCTTGTTCGTTTTATTCGTTTTATTCGAATAAACTTTCAATGTAATTCGAATACTCAAATCATAATAATAATAATAACGAATAAAACAAATAATTCGAATAAACCTATTCGAATAGAAACCCTAACGACATTCTATTTTTTTCAATTCAAAAATTCATCGTCTCCGCAAACTTTTTAAACACATGCAAACTCTTATTGTTTCATGTTCTAAACTAAAACGCCTTGGAGTAATTAAGTCTGTGCCCTCCAGAAAAAAACCTCGTTCAACTGGGGCACTGGTTGTTATAACAAGTTTATTAGATTAGAAATCAATAAATTTAATTCTAAATAACCAGAGTGCAAAAATTAGAATACCAGGAACTGTCAAATAGTTACTAGCCTAAAGCTCCAAACTGCTCGGGGCTTTACACATGGATAAAGAACCATTGTATGTTTAACATCTCTTTCTTTTTTAATCAGAATACAGATGGCAAAATCTTGTGATTGGTAATTTTGTATTGTATACAAGTGAAGAGGTCAAGACATGAAATCAAATACTTAATAAATTAAATCCGTTAGCATTTTAACAAACCTAAAAAAAAGCTTTTTTATCATTAATTATTTCAATAAATTAAAATTAAATCATCACTTAACCATTCAGTTGTTGCTCTTTTATAATTGTTTTTACAACACTATATTGAACCCCATAAATTTATTATTAAATTCATTATATCTTTTTATTATTTCCAATATCTTCAGAAAATAAAACTGCTTTATCTGAATTCACAAAAATATGGATTTTGTTTATTTGCTAGCAATAACAAATTGACTAGAAAAGAATATGCAACGAAAATGGGTGAATGTTAGCAACTGTCTTTTAAGATTGGCTTCAAGAGATATTTCTCAGTAACGTAGAGATCAGAAGGCATTATTGCTCCTTGATAATTTTCCAAGCCATAGAATATATAGATTGGTTCTTTCGCATGTTGGTGTACATTTTCTTCCCCCCAAATACCACTTTAAAGATTCAACCAATGGATGCTGGAATTATTATTATGTCTTTTAAAAGACATTATCATCATTTGCATATTAAATGGATTCTAGATGTTGAAAATGGAAAAGATGCAAAAGATTTGAAAATGGATGCATTGCAGATAATGCAATATATTACTAAAGGCTGGGAAGAAGTCTCACTTCAAGTTATCCATAATTGCTGGTATCATACAAACTTCTCTGGCATGATTAATGATCCGATAATACATGGGGTGTTACAGCTCTTAGTCTAACTAATCCAATATTTATTGAACAATCATAGCTTATGAAGCTCCCAATGGTGTTATTGTGGAAGTAAGTAAATAATAAATTTTTTTCTCCACTAATATTACGTGCAACTATATAATAAAATGCTTTTGTTTCTACATTTAGAGATCTTCGGATTTACATTGATCACCATCCAATTATAATTTAACACATGCATGGTCAATTATCGTGTTAATGTTTAATATTAATGTTAATATTAATTATTTAAAATCCAAAATAATTTACTCAATATATATATATATACACATACACACACACATATATACACACACACATATACACACACACATACATAAACATCTATAGAATGTCATCATCAATGTTAAAGGTTGCATTTAGTGTTGTTGGAATATATTCATGTTTTTTAACTTGGGGAGTATTGCAAGAACGTGTATCAACAACACCATATGGAGTTATTGACAACACACCTCAGAAATTTAAATATTTTATTTTTCTCAATACAATTCAATCATTCATGGCATCATTTGTAGCATTTATATATCTTTTGATCACCAACCAAAAAATCAAAATGACAGAATCAAAGTTATACTTAAAACTAATGCAACTATCATTTTTTGGAACGATTGGATCACCATTTGGATATGAAAGTTTAAAGCATATAGACTATCCAACATTAATATTAGGAAAATCATGTAAATTGTTACCAGTTATGTTTATGAATGTTCTATTGTATCGTAGAAAATACCCATTATACAAATACTTTGTAGTATTTCTAATTACAATTGGAGTGTCATGTTTTATGTTACTTCAACCAGTTTCAGAAAAGAAAAAATCAGCAGCACCATCATCATTATATGGTATAATGTTATTATCAACCAATCTAATCATTGATGGTATAACAAATTCATCACAAGATCAAATTTTCAACAAATATAAAATTTCAGGTCAACAAATGATGTTCTATATGAATTTTTTCAGTGGAATTTTAATGTTGCTATGGATGGGATTTTTACCTTGGAATAATGAGTTGATCAATGCATTGAATTTTTGTCAACTATATCCAGAAGTACTGTATGATATATTATTGTTTTCATTATGTGGAGCATTAGGTCAATGTTTTATATTTTTTACATTGAGAGATTTTGGATCTTTATTCCTGGTGACAATAACCGTTACAAGAAAATTATTCACAATCATATTATCAATATTTTGGTTTAATCATAAATTAAGTTTAGGTCAATGGTTATCTGTTGCATTGGTATTTATAGGCATTGGTTTAGAAGCATATATAAAACAATATGATCAAATTAAAATTAACCAAATGGGTAAGAAACTATATGGTGATAAACAGCTTGTTGTTGATGATGATGAAAATGAAAAGAAAATTGAAAAGGAACGAAAATCTGATTAATTAATGTAATAAAAGATTATTTTTATTAGGATAAATAAAGTGATTAGAATATGGGTTATTGTTAATAATATAGAAACTGAACTATTAGATCTATTGATTTTATAACTAAAACTAATAATTCAATCATAAACCAGCATAATTATGTTTATAAGAAGAACAATAAATATAATTAGAATTTTTTGAAGTTGGTGCAATAGTCCTTTGCCTTTTATAATAAATATTACAATAAATAATATTCTCTTTATTTACCATATGTTTTTTATCCTTTAATTTATTTGCTTGTATTAAAAATTTACACAAATATAAAAAAAATTGATATAATAATACACAATTGAAAAAAATTACATGATAAAATCTAAAAAAAATTAATTATAATAAAAAATTGTTTCTTCTTTTTCTTCCCTTCTGGCAATATATTTTAAATAATTGTTTTTTTTCTCTTCCAGATTTTTTTGTTCAGTTATCAAAAATATCACATTACTTGTACATAACAAGAGGTTATTGAGGCTTTCTAAATAATACAAAAAACATTGGAGAAAAAATCTCAAGTTCTCCTCCTCTAACCAAAGCAGTGGCAGTATTATTAAGAAAGAGAGAAACATCAGTTGATCCTGGTGGTGCAATATGTAAAGATTCAAGAATACTAACAAATTTATGAGTAGTCCTAAAAAAAAATTTTACATTTTTTAACTTTCATTTAAATAAATATAGTATATAATTAAGTACATAAGATATTTATAATACCATCTTCCTATACTGGTCATTCTAAAACCATTCATTGAGAAATTTCCTTTCAAAGTGTTATACCATGGTTCATGAGAATCATCCAAAACAGCCATATCTTCATATTCAAGAATTTCAAAACCAACATTTTTTGCAGCTTCAAGTGCTTTTCTATAAGGACCTAAAGCTGGAACAGAATTACCTTTCTAATAAATTTATTTGCAATTAAACTAATTATTATTATTATTATTATTATTATTATAATTATAAAAATATTAAGCAATTCATTTTACTGATTTAACACAAACCTCAATCCCATGAATAACTTGCTTATGTTCAGGATTATTTTCATCATATTTATCAGTGATTACCCATTCATAACTGGCAAAAAGACCACCAGGTTTCAATGCACGAAATATTTCACCATAAACCATTTCAAGTTTTGGTGCATGAACTGTTGCTTCAATTGCATAGGCTGAATCAAATTTATTATCTAACTCACATGGAATATTCGTAAAATCACACTTAAAACACAAAAATATAATTAGTATTATAATAGATGATTAATGAATGATATTAATTAAATAACATTGACATTATTTAATTTTCTTTTTATTACTTTGATAAAATCAGTTAAATTCTCCAAACCGAGTTTCTTGGAGTAGGCTTTACATCTTTCAATCTGATATCCATTATTGTTGATCCCAGTAACATGTGAACCAGACAATCTAACAATTTCACGAAGAGGACCACCAACTCCACATCCTACATCCTAATTAGATATTATTAAATTTGATGAGTTAGTAAATGCGATTCAGAGGGTGTGAAAATAAAGCATCTCCAAAAAAAAACCAAGTTACAAATGGATTTGGATTTTCTTACGATAGCTTTATGTTTTGGACCCAATCCAAGTTTTAAAGATAAAAACTGTTCATGACGTTTAATGGATTGTTCAAAGGTATCACCTTTATATGCACGCGCAAAATGAAAAGATTCACCCCATCCTTCAATTATTCAAAGACATTAATCGATTAATTGATTAATTGATTGATTAATTGATTGATTAATTAATTAATTGATTGATTAATTGATTGATTGATTAATTAATTGATATAATAATAAGAGAAATGAGTTATGACACGCGTCATCATATAATAATGCTTTTTTTGGTACTTGCCATATTCATAAAAATCAGTTACAATGTCATAAAACGCGTTTGTCATAGTTTGTGCATTATCACGTCTTTTTGAAGCAGTTTCCACTTTATTAGATAAATCTTTTTTATCCTCCTTCCACATATCAATGTAAGTATTGACAGTACGCCTGTTAAGTTGGCTATCTTTTCTATAGATCTTGTTAACAAAGCCATTGGGCTCATAGATAATTTCTCCGTGATGTTTCTTAATAACATCAAGTTCTGGATTAGTGTTAGGATCAATATTGTTAATATCTGTAACTGGGGGTGTCATATTGTTATAATAACTATTTGAAATAAATATTTTCAAGAAAAAAAATTTTTTTTTAATTTAAAAAAAAAAGATCAGTATATATAGGAAAATTTGCTTGTATACGACCTCGTTCTAATATGCGAATACCATATTTAGAGAGATTTACATTGATGAGACACGTGCCAAAACGGTTAGTCTAAAATAAGTAAATATAATCAATCTAGAATAAAATTCAATCTTAACAATCATTGTTATACATGAAATTATTTTTAATTGTTAATTAAAGGGTATCACAAATTTCACTTTTTTCCGTCGTTATTTTTTGCTTTGCTTTAAAAATAATTTACCTTTAAAAAAGATTTCAACGTATACGACGAATATTAAATTGTCATTTGGCCATTATCTTCTTCACTTTTATCTTTATTATTCAGTTATTTTTTACTAATTTAGGATAAACTGTGGTTTGATTAATTGGTTCAAAAATTTTTTTTTAAAGTTAAATAACTGCCGATCATTCGAAATCAACTGATCTGCAAGTCACTTAAATCGGGTCCTTTAATTCCTCCAAAAATGGAAATGTAAAACCAAAAAAACAAGACCTTTACCTATAATTCAATGAAATTTTTTGATATGTCAAAATGTTATGGAGAAATTAAGACTCAAATTCACTATGTTAGTCCAAAATTGGCGTCATTATTTTATCATTGTAGTGTTTGGGAGCGAAATTCCTTTATATTAGCTGATTTAATTTTCACATATTATTAATATTAATATATGGTGAGTGGAATTGGTGTTGTGGCGCAGAAAGTTCAGCGACTAAGTGACTTGCACTATATAACTTTAATAGGCCTCACAGGAAAAGCCGTTTTCAAATGACTTACAGTAAATAGAGGTTATTTGCCAACAACACTGAGGAAAAGCTCATTTTACGCCCGGATATCCTGAATCTCATAATTTATGTCATGTGATTTTATTTAACCAAGCTCAAAGTTTTTTGGACCGGTTATTTAATTGACAGTTCGCCATTGCCAACACTGATATTTAATGGTCATTTGACAGCAACATCAATATTTAGTAACTTGGGGTCAATTAACATTTCATAACCAACGAAATATCTTTTGTTGTTAAATAGTAATTGATAGTTACAGTCAAAACTTGTTATCATGGTGAACTTTCCAATTCCAAAAGCTTTTTTTTTTTCACTATAATGATATTTTGTTGCGAAGAAGATGATAATGGAAAGGTGATGATGATGACGGGGAAGAAGAAGATGATGTAAAGGATAAGAAAGATTTAAAAACAAGAAAAAATCTTTATTTTATGATTGTGTTCATTTTGCTAAAACAGTAGTCAGCATTCAGCAATCCGACATTCCAACTATAATTCAACCGTGTCGAATTTTAACTTTGATTTCTATCGCTATATTTTGTAGAATTATTGACTCTTTAGTGTCAAAAAATAATAAAAAAGGTAACATTTTAAGATGTTTGCCGTTTTTTTTTTCAACTAGTAACAAGTGATACACATGCAATAGGTTTGAAAAATGAGGTTAGATCTTAGTAATATTGTTAATGGACAGACAACATTGTAAATATAAAGAATTTCAAAGATTATAAATAATATTATATAAAATAAAATCATCATCATCAGTTATTATTATAGCATCCAATACTAATACCGCGTATATTTTTATTTTATCCTCTGTGTAACAATGCAACTTATAAAAAATATTTAATTCGTGATACGTTAGAAGTAGATAAATTCTGAAAATTAATTATATAGTAAATTGTGGGGGATCATCACTATCAAATGGTTACAATTGACCAACTTCCCAAATTTTTTCTACCAGCATACATTATAAATATTACACAGAATATTAAATAATATGATGCAAAAAATCTCAACCATTATTTTGACATATTTTTTATTATTGTTTTCTTTATAAGTTTTTGACTTTGCTACTTAGCACCCCTGGATTTCAGAAAAACGTGGCGCAGTATCCACTTCTATCATGGATCACGAATTAATGGAATTTTAAAACTTTCAGCAAGATATAAAATGCGATTTAAAAAATACAAATAGTAATAGTGTTATTCCATCGCATCTTGTTATATATCTCATTAAAAATTTAAAATTTTTTATTTTAGCCAACAAAAAGCTTGATTCATTAAAATATAATCAACAGATTTTTATAATATCAACCCTTTGACATTATTCAGTATGCATCTCGGGAATTTGGCTTGTATAACTTTTTAAGCTAGTAATTTCGTCACTTTCGTCACACATTTCGACTTTCATCACATGAAATCAGGAAAATAAAATCTTACGTAAACCTACGTAGGGTCCAAAGTGTTACCAGAATTACCAAAATTTCGACATAATGCTGGTCGATTTTGAACCTTACGTAAGATTTATTTTCCTATTCATTTGCCGAAATACTTTCTACACTCCAAAATATTTTTAGCAACCAATATTGTTAAATGTCTTCTTTAACAACATTATATAGGCAACAGGCAACATATCATACAAGTTTATACTCCAAGAATTCATACCAAATGAAGATCTGATTCTATACTTTGATAAAGATTCATAAATTCATTAATCCCAAAACTGATCTAAATTATTTAACAAATCACCTCTTGGTTGCCTAGATTTATTTTTTACACTCTCAATGATCATTGCATCAGATGAAGGTTTAGGTTTATCTCTTTGATATTTTGATAAATAAATACCATCAATAATATGTTTAAACTATCCAAACTATACTGAGCCTCAATAAATTGCTACAGTTTGGACCATCTCAATCAGAATTCCAATCACATTATTAATGATCCCACACAATACATTGTACATAAGGATACTGGCTGCAACTTTTGATGATATAAAAATGATTGCAACCACCTTTACAACCATTTTGTTTCTTTTTTGGGTTGCAACATGGAACACTAATTGTACATGAAATTGATTGCACATTTTAAAGTGAGGAACAAAATAAACAATACTAACAGAAGAAAATCCTCCAATAATAAATTTATTTATCTTTACTTGTCTTGAATTCTTTTTTCAAAAGTTATAACATCAACATCATCATCATATTTTGCTTTAATATTTAATTCATCAAAGTCTTTAAAAATACTTTGATTCCTGCATTTGGCAAGGAATAATGGAATTTCTGATAAAACTTTGTCTGTCCATAATTGACTACTGTCATTATGAACTAGATAAATGAAATATTAACCTTAACTTTAATAACCTTTTTTTTTGACAAGATAACTATTACCATTCAAAGAAAATAGTTATCACTAATAAATTAATTATTGGGTAGTGTAAAGACATATGTTTATCTGTTCCTCTATTAGGTCCAACACACAGAATAAACATTTCAAAATCAAAATCTTGTCTATATGGTCTCATTATTTCATGGATAATTGTTCTTACATTATGTCTCTTGAAAGTTGTTATATGATTTTATATTGCTGAAATGAAGCAAGTGTAAATATAATTGGCTCTGCACTTGATGTTTTAATTTATATTGAGGATTTTTTGGATTTCCAATTGTGTTCCTCATGTGATTTTCAAAGAATTTGTTGATCAATAATGTCCAAATCCTTTAGTCATATAGATATAAATTTGTATTGATACATAATAAAATACAATGTATAATTATTATCATGATTGATCTCAAAGTGTATTAACTTATTGAATTATAGTGGTTTTTGCACTGGTGAACATCCAGTGCATCATCTTTAAAACAAAGTTGCCAATGAATTTCTGTATATTTAACATAACCAAAAATAAATATGCACCAAGTGAGGCTAGGTATAATTTGTTCTGTTCTATGATTGTCATAATCCATGAAAAAGATATTTTTTTGCTTATTTCCAAATTTTTTGATTAGCTACAGAGCTATCAATCAAGATGAAATGAAATCTAGCACATGTTTATACTAATGCTAAAGTCAGGTGGTGGAATATCTGAAAAAGTAGCTTTTGGCATTTAAGATTTATTTTATAAGTAAAAAATATTCCTTTCTATATAATAAATAAATAAAAATACTGTGTAAATATTTGTAATGAATGTTTGTAATAATTGAATATTTTTTAGTAAAATAAGATCCAAGTATTAACTCAAAATTGGTCAGAGACCAGCTGTCCTTATTTCTGCTTGAAAGGCCCCATATATGTACATATTATCTTTATTTTATTATTTTAGAAGAAAGTAGAGTTGAATTACTATTATAAAGAATTTTAAACTTTTTAAAATTATTTTTTCCATGACACAAATATTGTTTTTAAAAAATGTGTTATGTGTGGTGTGAGAAAAAAAAAAGAAAATTATTAATGTACATAATTGTTATATAAAAAAAAAATAAAACAAGCATAAGCTTAGTATGAAACTTAAAGAATTTAAAATAGTTTTTTTTTGAGTTTTTATATTTTTTAATATTTTTATATTTTTAATATTTTTTTAATATTTTTTTTGAAATTTTTTTTTAATTTTAGAAAAATCAATATTTGTGTTAGTGTGTAAAGAAGATCAAAAAAAATATGAATTTCGGGAAACATAATAATAATCCATATAACGATGACTTATTTATTTATTTTTATTAGTCAAAGATGAAGAGGATGGTGATATGGGGGAAGATGGGGAAGATGATGACGATGATGAAAGAGGGCCTTCGATAAGACCATCTTCCAACTCCCTTACTTCTTTTGGCCAAACACCAACTAATCTAATCAAACTACCCCAAGCCAAATCAAGTACCCACCTAGGTAAAACATTATGTACGAAAACTTGTACTTTGGCAATAGTTCCAATAACATAACGATCTTTAGGAAAACCAATTTCAATAGCTTCAACAACAGTTCTTACAATCTCTTTGTTAGGATCATCATGACTAGAATGAAGTTTTTGCCAAAATTCAATAGCCTTTTGAATATAATCCTCGCCATAAAGAGTAAGAGTTTGTTGAGTAATTTCTGGAGAAGCAAAGAATTTTTTAGAGATTTCCAAAAGATCAGGATGAGTTAATCTGCTTGTCAAAGGAACTGATTCAATCATCGAAATATGGATTTTCCATGGCAATAACTCAACTCTAACAGTATCAAGCATAGCTTCTAAAGCATGTTTAGATGCACTATATGCACCATAGAATGGTATGGTTGTTCTGCCCAATACAGAAGTCATCATTACAATTCTTGGTGATATATCCTGGTGTTTTTGTGCTTTTTTGAGGTTATATCTAATATTTTGTTTTAGACTGGGCAACAAAGCTTTAATTATTTTGGTTGGTCCCATAAAATTTACATCCATGGTTTTTAAGATTTGATCATTAGAAGTGAACTCGAATGCAAATCCTTCATTACAACCTGCGCTATTAACCAATGCAAATAAGCCTTTATCTTTTGTTTCATGAGCGACCATTCTAGCACATTGTTGAATAGATGTATCTTTTGTGATATCAAATAAAAAAGGTCTGAAATTTGGGGCAGAATTGTGTGCGAGAAATTCTTTGAATGCTGTTTCTGTCAGACATCCTATATAATTTATAATTAAGTCATTAAGTTATTTAAAGAAGAAGAAATAAATTATATTATTATTTACCAGCAAATACATAATAGCCCCTTTTGTGTAGAGCTCTTGCGACCCAATTACCGACAATGGAATCACATCCAGTAACAAGTACATAGCGATCCGAAAACATTTGATTTGGTGGAGCTGTATCAAAAAAACTACCAACATATGATAGAATTCCCATTATCGTAGAAGTAAAGGATTTTTTTTGTTTAAAAAATTATTTATTTTAGTATCGTTAAAAAAAAATTTTTTTTACACGTTAGGAGAAGTAAGTGGTAATGTTGTATGTATTATATTATTGTGTTGTTAATCTAGAAATTATAATAAAATATAAATTAATAAGCTTTATTATATGAATTATGAATTATATAAATTATTCGACTAACCTTACGATCGTAGTAATTAAAGAGTAACGAATTAACGAATGATTGCAAAAGACATGAAAAAATATAAACAACAATATAAGGTAAGGGAGGGGTTTTTAAAAAGTCGTTTCAACACTTGAGAATATTTAGAATTAATTCATTGGTGATTTATATATATTTTGAACTGTTTTTGACATGTGAAAAATGTTAGCAACGGTTGATCGTGAAACAAAAGAATTATTTTGATTATTTTGAAAAGAAAAATATAAAATTTTTTTTTCAAAATTGTTTGGTGGTAGTGGGTGTTAAATTTAAAACAAACATGCAAATAAATATTTTTTAATTATCCAAGAAATTAAACTGGTTTTTTTTTTGTTTACTCAGGGTCCAGAAAAAGGTATCATTATCATTATTATTATCATTATTTAAAGAACGCCTCAATAAATATAAATATCGGTGCGCAGCATATTACACAAAATTTCGTGTGCATTGAAAAAAATGATAGCGCAAATACCATCTTCCATGTGTTGCCTTGTTGTCGGTCTGACTTATTCGTCCCATTCTGGTGCTATTTAAATTTCGATTGTCCACTTTTACCAAATATTTTATCCACGAGAATCTGAAAAAATGCGTTGACAATCACATATTTGAATTACTATTGTGATAAAAAAATCTAATGCAAATGTTTAAGAACCATGCATGATTTGATATGAGCACGGTAAAATTATTCTGCATTTATTAAAAAGGGTTTTTTTGCAGTAACAACCTACAAATTTGTAAAAGATTGACCAAAAAATTTTTTTGTGTGCGAAATATAATTTTGAACCAAGCAGAATTGCAGTTTTTTCACTTTGTCGATTATAATCATTGTGATTTCATATATACTGTAATTCTATCTTAACCTACAATATAACCAAAAATAGTTCAAAAAATAAATTATTGTAATAGTATTGATGTTCGAGAAAATCACATTGTCTATTACAATAATAATAAAGAGTAATGATTATTTGGTAACTAATAAAGAATTTTATAAAGAACGCCATTAAAATAATATCTTTTAATTTATTCTTTGTGATTACGCCAATAATAAATAATTTTTTATTATGACAAAAAGAAAAAAATTATTTAACAACAAAACATTTATTACTATAAACATTCCAATTGTTAAACATAATGATACAATTTACACGCTTACTTATACTTGGAAATAAACTATTAGTTTTTTACATTGTATCCAATTCAACAATAAGCCACATGGATTCCATGCATCAACATTCGTGCGAAAATTACGAAAAAAGTTTTATCGATTAGATTGAAATTAAATTATTAATATAATCTAACTTAAGATCAGGTTTATATGATTCACTGCATTCAAAGAATTTTATTTTTACATAAATTAACTATGCTCAAAAAATCCAAGCAAACGTCAGTTTCGACTTGCAAACAACCTTTAATAATATTTCAAGACACTGTAACCAGTAGAGAATAAAACTTATTTACGCGATGTACACAAATTAGATGAATTATACACGTTTATTCCTATCCTAACACTACAATTATAAGAGAATTTGAAAAAAAATTTTTGTGCATAGTCGTTCTCAATATAAGAAGCTTATTTTATAAAACTAAAGGTTTAAAATATATCACTTTGTATCAACATTTAAAGTTTCAATTCCTCTAAAAATGGAAATATAAGAATCATATAATTAAAGCCAAGAAGTACTTTACAATTTTAAAATTTTATTTTGCGGGCGCTCATGTAATACTTTTCTGTTATATTGGGAAGATGGAACGAACTCTTATATAATATATTTTACACATTTAGATTTGGAATAAATTTTCGAAAACTAAATCTGCTTATCAACAAACAAATCAGAAAAATTAATAAAAGGTTTACAAGTATCACAGTAGATGACTCTCAAACTTTTCAAATCCTTGTAAATATACTTTCTCTCAGATGTATTTTTCATTGGAGATTTTTAGGTGAAATAATAAACATTATCTCTTGTTTTCTCTCTTTAAACAATTAAACATTAAAAATGTTGTGTCGGGAATTATGATCTCGTAAACCATCATCACGATCACACAATCATCATCATTATGGACTTTGCATCAAATGTAATAACCATCACATCTCATGCGCTCATATTCTCGTCTACTAAATCATCCATTTATCCTGGCCAGCAATACTAATCGGAATAGCTGGTACAGGAGTTGATTCTCGTATGCTCGAAGAGGTGGTGGCAAGGTGAGGGAGCAAGCATAGGAGGAAATATTTTACAGTGAAATAATTAATGAATATAGTTCTAACAGACTTGTGTATGGCGTTTCCAACAGACTAGGCTTGCATGATTCATAGAATTATCAATGGCAAGATAATTACATGGGAATCAATTTCATTCAAGTGTGGCTACACTATAAATCCTCAGGGTCCTCATTCAACGACTGTCATCAGCTTTTCGTTTCCTACACCAACCATCAACACCAGTCAATTTATGCTTGGCGTTCAAACATTCTCAACATCAAAAAAGATTCAATTGGAACTCTCCTGGTCAGTGAGATTTAACTGTCCCCTTTGTTATATAATGTTCCACTTCAATCAATCAACCAATCAACCAACTATTAGATCAATTAGGAATAGGTCAGATCAAATAAAAAAGTCATTATTGTCACTAGAAAATATATATTAAAGCAAATTTCTAATTTCATCAATTATAAGTTTATTGATTAAAAAAATTTTTTTAACTTTGGATAAATAAATTACTTGAAATTATTATAATGTTGAATCATTAATGTTATTTTTTTCTTCATCATTATTATTATCATCAGATGTATTTGTAAAGAAATTTATGATGCCATTTTTATATTTACGCAAATATCTTAAAATTAATGCAATTATCAGAATACCGAAAAAATATAAAAACCAATAGTCCAATAAATTTTGAATACTTGGTTGTGTGATAATATCATCATCGTTAATATCATCGATGTTATTAATTAGAGAAGGTTTTGCTGTTTCAGTTGTATATTTTTCTTGTTCATAATTTTGAGATGAAAGTGTTTTTGTATTTGAAGATGAGTGTGGATTCTATTTATTATAATTTTTAATAACATGTTTTAAAAGAATATATAAGAGTAGAAAGAAGAATAATATTTTATTTTTTATCTCACACAAATCATATTATTTTTATTAACAATAAAAAGCAAAAAAAACTGTGATATTCTTTTTGCAGATTCTTATTAATAATAAATTATTATTAAGTTATAATTCAGCTCTAATAGGTTTTTCACTTTCCTCAATTGGAAGTTCACCACAATCTACAATTTTCACATCTTTTCGTGGTCTATTATTTTGTCCTGTTTTAACATCTTCAATTTTATTAACAATATCCATTCCTTCTAAAACTTTACCAAATACAACATGACGACCATCAAGCCATGATGTTATGACAGTAGTAATGAAAAACTATAAACGAAATTAAAGGATTGATTATTAAAAAAATTGATAGTAATTGAACCAAAAAAAACTTTTTTATTTACTTGAGACCCATTAGTGTCAGGCCCTGCATTGGCCATACTCAAAAGACCTGGAGTTACATGCTTTAATTTAAAGTTTTCATCAGGGAATTTATCGCCATAAATGGATTTTCCGCCAGTACCGTCACCTTTTGTAAAATCACCACCTTGAATCATAAAGTCCTAATTAAGTAAAAAAAGAGTTATTATTTAATCATTAATTGATTATAAATAAAATATATAGTATTATCACCTTAATCACACGATGAAAGTTTGATCCTTTGTAACCATACCCTTTTTCCCCTGTTGCCAATGCACGAAAATTTTCGGCAGTTTTTGGTACGGTCTACCAGCATAACAATAATTGTTAGATTGAAAGTGAAAAAATTGAAAAATATAAACAAGTCATATAAACATATATTTGTATTGATTATACTTTGCCAAATAAACCAAGCACTATACGGCCTAAATCTTCATCCCCGTGTTTAATATCAAAATATACTGAAAAAAAGAAAGAATCCAATTTTTTTAATTATTATTATTATTATATATTACTATTCAAAATAAACTGAAAAATAGTATATAAATGAAATAAAGAAATAAAATTTACCTTTATTCGTGATGACTGGTCCTTTTGCTGACAAAGCTACTTGGACATTCAAAACAAATAAACTAATAAATAATAATAAAACTAGTCTGAAGAAAGTATTACTGTTGAATCTAAACATTGTTAACAATAAATATTAATTAACGCAAAAATAAAAATTTTGTAAATTTGTTAAATTTGCAATTTCACAAATTTGGAAAAAAGTGTTGTACGAGAAATACAAGGTTTTGCAAACAAACATCAGGTATGACTTTAAATTCCATAGATAAAACTGAACAAAATTTGAAAGAGGAGATTTTGAAGAAAAATGGAATAAAGGTCCTAAAAGGAAAGGATATAAATGAAGTTTTCGCACATTTTAATCAATTGATCCAATGGGAACATTATGAAAAAGATGATGAAATGTTTAATTCTAAAAATCATGAAAGTTTTCAGAATGGGCTATTGACATTTTTTAAAGCTTTAGGAACCAATGATATTATTACACGAGGATTGCAATTTGATTATATTTGGTCTGAAGAAGAGATTATCCAAACCATAGATCACAGAAAAAAGCTTCTTTATTTTTCTGATAAAATTATTGGAAATGCTTTGGCAAGTGATTTTTTAAAGGCTGCACGTAAATATTTGATGGTTCCTCAAGAAGCAAAAGCCGACTTTAAAAAAAATTTTCAAGAAATTTATAAAATAGTAGATTCTTCGGTAGTTGCACAAGAAGCTGTGGCACTTTGTTATTTATTGGGAATTGGAATTGAACAAAATTTTGAAAATGCCGAACTTTGGTTTGAGGAAGTTGGGAAATCTTATCAAAAAAATGGAATGGAGAATATTTCAATCTCTCACAGATTAAAAAAAAGCTTTTCTATCTGTGTATTCTTTGTAGATAAAAGCAAAAATCATTATCTTTCTTCATCTCTGGAGGGAATCAATTGGACTAGTGCCAACCAAATAATGACCGGATGGTTGTCCTCTCATCATCTGAGTCCTATTAAATTTAAAGGAAAATTATATGTGGCTGCAGTAGGACTTGATGATAAGATCTACTTCTTTAGTTTAACAGATGAAAACAAATTTAATAATGTATACAAACCATTTGATGGTTGGATGACAAATCGATCCGTGCATTTGGCTATTTTTAAAGGAAAACTTTATATTAGTATGATAGGATACGACAAGCATACTTATTTATCATATTCTTCAAATGGAACCAATTGGTGCGCTCCTTATAGAACTCATAATGATTGGGAAATGACTCAATCCTCATGCATGGCTAGGTTTAAAGGGAAGCTTTACATTACTTTTGTAAACAAGGATAAACATTTTTTTATATCTTCTTCTTCAGATGGAATGCATTGGGAAGAGCCTATTAATTTCATTAAAGACTGGGAAACTGGGGAGCACTTGCAAATAATAAATTTTAAGGAAAAGCTTTATATATGTTGTCTAGGGATTGGTAAACGCATTAGTTTATTCTCATCCTTGGATGGAATTAACTGGTCTAAACCCTATAGAGCCTTCACATGGCTATCGCCTTGTCCTGCTTCATTGGTCAATTATCAAGGGAAACTTTATATGAGTTTAGTTTGTTCATCTAACAAAGTATATCTAACATCATCTTTAGATGGAAAAAATTGGAGGGCACCTTATCTTCTAAGTGAGAGTTGGAGATCTTTCAAAAGTGTGAGCTTAGTTGTTACAAATGATGAACTTGATACAATGTAAATGTTAAATTATTTTTTTTTTACTATTTTTATTATTTTTCTCTTGTATTTTAAATACTGATAACATAAACTATAATTAAAATGTTATATATTGTTATCGTCATTTTTAATTGAAATTTTGGAAATGTTAAAAAAGAAAATGTCCACAACAAAAATCCCATATATATATATCGTAATTCGTTAGTATTAAAAAAAGATTTTATGTACAAATTAAAATTCCTTTTTTTTTAACAAACATATATAAGTAAAAAATCTAAAGATCTTGAATTAAAGAGTCGCAAATACAATCATTAAAAAAAATTTTTTTGATGATCAGGAAAAACTTTTAGGAATTAAGGATAATAGTTTTTACTCCTTTTCCCCATATGATGTGATGATGTTCAATCAGCGTGTAAGGATTTTAAATAAACCTACAGCTGGTCTTACATACACGGCATATATTACTGAAGTGGCAATACTTGCAGAGACTGTAATGGTGTTGCATAATGGTCTAACCACCAATGTATCGACAAGGGTGTTCTTTGTATAAACTTGTTGTTGTTGTTGGTGAAGATTCTGTGTTGTCAGAGAAAAAGTTGAAGTTGAAGAAGTCTGAGAAAAAAGTGCTAATTCTCGATGAATCGTCTGTAAATCTTGATTGTTGTAAGCTTCGTTGGCTATCATCATTTGTTGATTCTCTTGCCTTTTAAAAAAATAAGCAAAAGAAAAAAATGATATATATAAATATATATGAAGAATAGGAAGAATAAGAAAGAAAAATTCAACAAAATGAAAATCTAAATCTTACGCACAACTTTCCGACAATCATTTTCAAACCATCTAATTCGACATCTTGTTCATTAATTTTATTTTCTAATTTACGAATTGTATCTTCCATCTGACTAGAAACCAAGGAATCTTTTTGTTCATTAACTTTTGATTCTAATCTTGTCATTGTTTCTTGCATTTTTTCAGCAAGATCAAGTTGTCTTAATACAATAGCCTCCAATGTATTGATTCTAGAATTTTCTTCGATCTTTAATTTTTGAAAGTAAAAATATATTTTTTTAAAAAATTGATATTTTGAATTAAAAACAAAACAAAATCATATATATAAATATGGAATTTATTAAATACATTAAAAATTTATTTTTTACCTTATTTTCATTTTTTATATCAATTTTTTTGGTATTTGATGCCATTTTATTATTATTACTTGCTTCGCCTGTCATGACAATCATTAATTTTTCATCATTTTGTTTGCGATCATTTTTAACTATTTCATTATCTTCATTATTATGCGTTGAATAGATAATATTAAGAGTTTGACTATCATCAACATTATTATTAATTGAAGATGATGTTTTAACAATTTTATTTGATGAGATATTTTGGAATGAATTTACTGGTGAAATTTCTGGTAGAATATTGTTAATAATGGCAGTAATTATAGGCTTTTCTTGATCATTAGAATTATTTTTAGTTGTTGCTGTTGTGGTGGTGGTAGTGGTGATTGTAGCGTCGAGGATTTTAATACCATCAGAAATTCCAGTGTCATTAGAAACGTTAGAAGTACGTCCGAGTTTTTGTACATCATCATCATCATCATCATCATCATCATCATCATCATCATCATCATCATCACGATTATTGTTGGAATTATTTTTGGCTGTTGTGGTGGTGTTGGTGGTGTTGGTGTTGGTGTTGGTGTTGGTGTTGGTGTTGGTGTTGGTGTTGGTGTTGGTGTTGGTGTTGGTGTTGGTGTTGAGGATTTCAATATCATCAGAAATTTCAGTGTCATTAGAAACGTTAGAAGTACGCCTGGTTTTTTGTACAATAACATTATCATCATCATTACCCTCAACACCATTATTATCATCACGGTTATTGTTATTATTGTTGTTGTTGTTGTTGTTATTATTAGCAAAATCATCATCATCTTCTTCATCTTCTTCATCTAAAGAAGTATTAGATGTTGTTGAAGGAGGAGTTACTATTTCTCTTGTTCCATTGATTTTTTGTTTGTTGACTTCTTCTTTTTCATCTTCTTTAATAACAAGATTTTGTACTGGTGTAATTAAATTGTCATTTTGAATAATTGTCTTTTCATCTTTGTTACTCATGTTGGTGGTAGGTGAAAATGCACTACTGATATGAAGGTTTTCAACAATTGGAGAATCATATTGAGTGGTGGATAATATCGGGTTAAGATTTGTTTTTATAGTAGGAGCATTTTTTGGATCTAATGAAGAATTATCATTAATGTTGTCAACGGCAAAATCTATATCTTTATGACTATCGGTGAAATGAAAAGTTCTACGTCTTTTTTCCATTTCTTTTTTATCATCATCTGATTTAATAAGGTCAGCCAAATTTATACTAAGTCTATTACGAGCTTTTGTTTTTGTTTTTGAATTATCATCATCTGATACTGGATAAGTATTTACTCTTTGTTGATCATCATTACCACGTGTTTTGTATTTTGTTCGAGGGCTTGGAGGCACAAAATCTTGTTTCTTGTTATTGCCAAATAAATTTTTTACAAAAATTTCGCCTTCTTTTTTAATACGTTTAAAACTATTACGTTTTGCGCGTTTTTCATTTGTTTTCTGTTTATCTTCAAGTGTATTTTTAACGGTGGTGGTGTTTGTTGTGGCCATGGAATTGTCGTTAATAACTTTCTTGTCTTCGAAGGATACGGAAGAAGAAGAAGAAGAAGGAGAAGGGGGATATTCGTTTTCTTTTGTTTCTGAAGAAGTTGACGAAATCGATTTATTTTCTATATCATTAGAAATATTAATAGTTGGAATTTCTTGCTTAATACTAGTCATTTTTTTAATTATAATAAATATATATAAAATGTATATAATTTATGAATTTTAGAAAAAAAAAAAATAAAAAATAAAAAATAAAAAATATAAATGAATAAATAAAAATTTTTTTGCTTGACCTTTTTCTTTTTTTATTATTGTAATTCGTATTTGTGATGCGCGAGTGTAATGTTTAACCAAATTCTCTTTCAATAAGCACACATGACAATATTATTAAAAAAGATTTCCATTTAATATTAAATTTTATTTTTGTATCAATCAAATAAACAATAAAATTTGTAATACTTAAAATAATAACTAATTACAGTTAGTTATAAAATAGCGATTAATTTTATGACATATAAACCACCAAAAAAAGGATCGGTTGTATTTTAGATAACGCCCAAAAAAGCCTTCAAGTATGTTGAGTACTTGAGCTATCGAATTTTTGGATAACAAATATTTTTACTCAAAAGTCAAAGTGTGTTCGATGACTCAGTTGGTGAATTATGAATCTTTATATTTATCCTCGTTTTTACCTAATTGTAAATGTCTTGCACATTTGAAACTTTCACAATCAATAGATATTAACACTTTTCTTTTTGGCGCCGGAAGCTATCAAAACAATACTGTCGTTCGCGATTGTGGGGGGGTTTTTTTTTTGCATTTTTACGCATTTTTAATTTTTTTTCGATCAGAGAATATCCCAAGGAAGTCTAAGGAAAATCATATGCGAACCGAAAATATGTCATTTATTATTACAAATTGGTAAGATTGTTTAATGTTAGCGCAATTATGGTACAGATAAAGAGAAGTACATATTTTTAAGAACCAAATTTGTATAGATTATGTATTTAGATCAAAAACTTTTATAAAGGAGAAGATTTGAGCAATGAAATAATTTATTTGACATGTAGATAATGAAAGTTTATATGCTATTGTAACCCGAGAGATTTTTTGTTTCAATCACAATGTTCACAATGTGTTCCTTTATTTGATCAAAATAAGAAATAATCAATGAGTTAAAATTTGTATGACAGTTTCAAAATAAAGTTGGTGGCACGAACATTTTTTAAAATGAAATAAATAAATATCTTTGCTGCTGTGATCATATGATACATTTCCCCGTTAATCTGCGTGGAATGTCATGTGACTAACAATAATCAATTGAGTGAGGCGTTTCGGAATTCAGCCTTTCTCACCGGGAATGTCAGATTTAGGAGATGTCATTCATTATTAATATAATTAATAAGCGATTGAAACTTTGGGAGTGTAACAACTACAATCAAGATAAAATATGGTTCTCGCAGAAACTTTATTTTAATGCGACGACCCAATGACAAGATAACTGGTTTAGCATTTACACACGCTACTTTGGACAAAGGAGTGGTTAATTACACAAAAATGCACATAATAGAATAGAATTTATATATTGTTTGTTAATGTTAGCTCGAGCTTTTTTAAATTCTCAAATAACGAAAAAAAATAAACTTGCTTAAAATTTTAACCAGGTTTTGCAGATTTTATCAATATTTAAATATCTTTATCGTGCGTGTTATCATTTAAGACTTTTCTGATAATCTCAATAAAACCATTTTAAAATGGATCATCAAAAGCCGAGGTTGAACGTGGCTAAATAGGCTAAACAATTGCTTTATAAAGGCGGATTTGAATACAATGATATTCACAAGACATTAAAATCTGATCTTTAAATATTCGCAATAAACTTTAATATAAAAGACGACAATAATCTTTTCTCACACACAATTGTGGAAAAAATTTTATTCTATATGACGAAAATGATGATTAATTACCAATACCGCTAGTTAGTTGATGATGATGATGAACCTATTCTTTTGATAAGCTAGTTTTCTAAAGGAACTAGTTTTACCCTGTAAACCACAAAGTATAATAACATCGTGTAACAAAAATAATAAATTGACAAAACTAGTTATTAATGTCAGCTGGATGGATTGTTTATTATTATCAAAAATATATTAATATCTCTCTGATGGTACTGAATTCTTTTCTAATAAAACTTCGTAAAATCTATCATGGATAAATAATTCCCCAAATTCATGAATAACAGTAAAAAAAAAAAAATCAAATCAAAATATTTCAATAAAGCACAATTACTTTAGACGTTACTATTATTAAAAAAAAAGATTGATAAATATTAAAAAAGTACATGATCCACGTAGTGCAGATTTTTTTTTACTTCGTTGTCTTTTGCCAAGCAATTATTGACTCGCAAATTTTCTCGGTATTAAATGTGAGACACTTTTTTCCTTAACATGTCTCTCGTAGCCATAATTCATTAGAACTTCCCCGTTTAGGTGAAACATTGAAGAGAAATACTGCCATATCCCTATTAATTTCTCACTTAGCCTTAGAAGTTATCACAACTTGCCTACTAGTATCAACGAAGCCTGCAGGGTCACCTACTTGAATGTTATCAAAGCTGGTCAGGTTTCAGGATGTAACAATATTAGCACACCCTCTTGTATAGACTGTTTCTAGCATCACTTAAGTGTCAAATAAGTGATGAGGATGAAGGGCCATTCCAAATACAGCAGATTTTGTTATTTTTCTCCGTGATTATATATTAATGTATATAGTAAAAAGCCAATATTGATTTTTTGAGTATGATGACCGTTTACGTTATTTCAGATTTTATTCTGATTGATATTAAAATAAAAGTTAGCCAATAAAATTATAAATTGAAAAAAGTTTATTTACCGCCCTAGACTGGACTATCATCGATAAACAATGATAAAGTTGATTCCTGAGCCGACCCAAAAATTTCCTCTGCTCCATTAGAATTATGCTTGTTTTTTCTGTACAAAACTATTACTATGCACTTCTCGTACGGCAAAAATTTAAAACCTGATTGTACAAACGTTTGTACAGGATCGGGAAAACTCTATTATACGTGACCGCCAAATTAAGCGCCTGATCATATTAACGCGAACCACGAAAGCTGCTTGGTGAATTTTCCTCTGTTTAGATAATGATTTATGAAGATGTAGTCTCTATAGTGTGACTATACATGCAGCCCAAAGTGTTTTGCTGATGTCAAAGTAAAAACATAGTAATACCTCCTATCTTTACGAAAGTCAGTGCACATATAGGCGTGACATTTCTTCACTATTAATATTATCATTAATCTTAATTCGAAATTATTCGTTTTATTTGTTTTATTAAAATTATTCGTTCATTCGTTTGGTTTTATTCGACTAAACTTTCAATGTAATTCGAATACTCAAATTCATAATAATAACGAATAAACAATAATTCGAATAAATCTTATTCGAATAGAAAACCTAACGACATTCTATTTTTTTTCAATTCATATATAAAATTTATCGTCTCCGTAAACCCTTGTTGTTTCAGGTTCTAAACTATAACGCCTTTGGGTAATTAAGTCTGTGCCTCCAGAAAAATCTCGTTCAACCGAGACACTGGTTGCTATAATAAGTTTATCAGATTAGAAATTAATAAATTTAATTTCTAAATAAGCAGAGTACAAAATTATAATACCAGCGACTGCCAAGTGGTATCTAGCCCGAAGTTCCGAACAGTTCGGTTCGATTTCGGTTCGGTTCAAAGAGTAAGCTGAAACCTAGTCGAACTGAACCGAATCGTTCGGAGTATACGTCTGAGCCAACTTTGGCTAAAGCAGTTGCATATACCATGAACATAGAAAGTAAGTTTATTATGCCAGATATGTTAGCTATGCCGACGAATAGTATCAAGAAAGGTGTTGTAGAGGCTAGTTATCGTGGTGAACTAGTCGCACGCTTGTTGTTAATTATAGTATATGATTATGCTTGTTGTCAACTTTCTTCAAACTAAAGATATTTTCCTGGCTATTGTTCACAAACTATCATTGTACAATAATTATTGCAAGCCGTGCTGCATGATAAATAATTACAACTAAAATTTCTGATAATAAATTCAATGCTAAGGTACCACTAGGTAAAGGATATGTACTTTGTTCCAATGACTAACACGCCTTTAAGAAAACAATTGTTGAAATTTTTAGAACGGGGTAGCTGTGCTCTGTAAGCGTAATCAATATGGTGTGGACATCACCATACCAGTGATGCTAAATTTTTATGGGAAATGAACATTGGTGATTTAATCTATACCCTTGTACAAGTCAAAATTGGAAAAACACGCCATCAAAATGTTAGATTATAGAGGCATATAGAACAAAACTTTCGCCTGAATTTACAGGAATTGCCGTACAACATTTACTACTTTGTCTGGCTCTTTATCTGCAGCTCGGTGATGAGAATTCTACAGCGGAAATTGTGAAAGACGTTGATATTTTCAATCAATTGTATGTTTTGGTTTTTTCAAATCCAAATTTATTAAAACAGACATCTACAGGGAGTTAGATGATATTCCTCTGAAAACAAAAGGTAGGCAGAAACAAGTCACATTATCCAACAAAAACAAATAATGCCAAACTTATTGGTTTATGTTTTAACAATGAAGAATTCCAAAAGCAATCAAAAGAAAATAGCTCACTATCTAAAATGAAACCCTATCAACAAAGTGAAAACAAGCCAGAAGTGAGTAAATTAAGTTCTTATCGGATTTATATTTTTGATTAATTACTCTGTATGGAAGTTATTGGATAATTAGAAAGTTGCAAAGCAGGAAAAAAAATAAATATAATATGCCAACATATAAAATAAAATAACAACATGATGGTTAGAGTGAGTGTGTTTGGGTAATTATATTAGTAATACAATAGTGCTAAATATTAAAATTTGAACCCTGAATTCCTTGTAATCATAAATATACTTATGCCTAACGAGTTCTTCTTTTTGTGTGGAAAAATCCCAGGGATGAAAATAGCCTTTCACGCCCAGCCAAGTTAACACATATACTAGAATTCTTGCTACAAAACCTTGATAAATTAGGTGTTTGGTCACTGACCCAACTCCAATAGTCTAAAGGAACATTTTCCGATTGTTTGAGCAATGGATCATTAAATGGATATTTCATATTCTTGTATGCTAACAAATTTTGTACTATTATGTTGGGTTCTTCACCAAACCATTTTACAAATATTAATAAATCCATTGGGAAAGTTTAGATGAGGTAAACTAGAAAATCATGTAAAATAAAGATCTACAAAATGGTCATATGATCTTATCACATGGTTATGGAACCAATGGGGTGAACAATAGAAACAAGGCAAATGCTACAATAGACGTTTACCTTGTTTTTACAGTATCGTCCACCCCTAAATATGAGCTATATCACATTATACAACTTTTCATACACATTGAAAGTTCTATTGTTTTATTGAATTATTTTCAAAATTTGATTATATAGATGGCCTATAAAATTACAATTAACAATGTCAATATAATAAGATTTTTTTAAACAAGTTCAAAATATCTTTTGGTTTCCCAATTAGTAACACTATTTTCCCATAATCTCCATTCATGTAATCTAGTTTTACCAAAATGATCCACAAACTCATCACCTAAAACTTTTCTAGCAATAGAATTTTTTTCCATCATTTTATCTGTTGCCTCTTTTAAACTTCTTGCCAATTTTCTTGATCTCAATATTTCACCATCTACTGCTTTACCATCTACTTTATTAGTGGTTGAAAGATCAGATTCAGGTGGAATAGGTATTGGAAGCTTATTTTTAATTCCATACAAGCCACATGCTAATGTTGCAGCAATTGCAAAATATGGATTAATATCAGCTCCTGGTACTCTCAATTCAATGCGTGTAGATGATGGTGAAGAAATTGGTGGGGTGATCACTCTAACTGCAGCTGTTCTATTTTCTAAACCCCATGAAACATTAATTGGTGCCCAATAATTTTCTACTAATCGTTTATAGCTATATGTGTACATATATGTGTGTGTAATTTAATAAATTTTTAAATAATATAAAACATATTACTATATATATAATACCTGTTAATAGTAGGTGCCAACATTGGCATAATACTTGGTAGACCAATCAATACACCTGCTAAAAAATATTTCATTTCATCACTCATTTCTTTGGCATCTTGCCATTTTAATTCTTGGCTTTCCTGATTTTGTTCACGGTCACTAGAACCAAAACTTTTAGCAAAAACATTTTTACTTGTTTCAATATTTAAAAGTGAAAAATGCAAATGGCCTGAACAACCAGGTAAATTGTCATATGGTTTAGCCATAAAACATGGCATAATTCCATATCTTAAAATACCAATTTGTTTTGTTGCCAATTTAAAAAGAGTAGCTGAATCTGCCATATTCATAGCTGTTGAATATGAAATTGCTGCTTCATAAACACCAGGCCCTATTTATACAATAATTTTATTATAATTATCTAAGTTCCAATCATGTTTTATTATTTATTTTTTTAGAAAAAAATTAATAACCTGTTTCTGTGTGTAATCCTTCTAAAGATACGCCAAAAGCTTTAAGTTCATCAAATATATCATAAAAATAACTTTGATTTGAAGTTGGGCGTAATAATGCTATTCAAAAAAAAAACCCCCCCAAAAAAAATTTAATATAATTATTGTTTGAAAACAAAACCATTGAAGTTTTTAAGTTAAATCAATATTCACTTACAATAACCAAACATTCCTTGAGTTAATGGAGTTGGTGAGACATAATTTTTTTTTGCTAATGAATTAGGATCCTCTATAATGACAATATCAGAGCATAAATACACATATATATGATCGCTTTATTACTGAATTTGAAATTTCAACTTCAAAATTACCTTTAAAATTAAAAAATTCAAATTCTGCACCACACATTGGTTGTAATCCTATAAATTAAAAGAAAAAAAGGAATTCCAACGTGAAAAAATAATCTTAAGAAAGCATTTAGAATCACTTTTTAGTTAAATGTTAATTAATTTTATTTACCTAATTCCTCATATTCTTTGATAAATTTATTTAGTAAACTACGTGGACAAACATAAAGTGGTTTATTTGTCACAGGATCATAATAAGACAGTAGAAAAAATGCAATATTATTTTCCCATGGTATGCGACGAAAAGTTGATAAATCAACCTGAAAATAAATAAATAAATAAATAAATAAATAAATATACTAAATATAATGTTTAGATTTAATTTACCTTTGCCAAAATATCTCCATAACCTTTTAAGCATAAACAAATATGTGGCATGAGGGAGAAAAATATTTAAGAAAGGCATTATTTTTATTTCCACCAATTAACCAAATGAAAAATAGAATTTTATCATCAATAATAACCATTATTTGAATTTGATATAGAAAGTTCTTCAGAATAAGCTCGATCATGCATATCCCAACCAAAAATCACACTACAAAAACCTATACAACAAATATAAAAAAGAATTAAATAAACTAAACTAAAATCAAGTAACGTTTTAAAAATTCACCTACCAAATCCATCATCTAAAGTTGACAAAAATTTATTTTTTGTAAGAATTTTGCCACGAAGAATTCCATCAACATCAACGCCTGAAATTAAAAATTTTTTTAGAAATGATCAATTAGATCTATATTAATATATAAAACTAGGATAAAAATACCAGCGACTTTAACGCGTTCATCATTTTCTAATAGTTGTTCAATTTCTTTGATTTTATCTTTAGTGTAAGTCATTTTAACTCGAAACTTGAGAGAAATAAGTTGATAATAATAATGTCACAAAGAAATTTCAGGGTCAAAATTTGGTTAGAGTAGCCGTCAACCATTGTCTTATATGAAAATTAAGTTAATATGGTAATTATGGAGGAATTTTTGAACATCAACTTGCTGCGCCACGAACCAAAAATTGGTCAATTTTACAAACAATGAATGACCATTAAAATTAAAAACAAATACGTGGGTTTTTATGATTGCCGGAAGTAAAAGTTATGGGCAAATATTACCTTTAATAATTATAATAATAAATATTCTATCAATTAATTTACTTCACTATTAGTTAATATTGGTGAATTAACAACCCTATAAAAAATTGGAAATGTATGGGAAATGTATTAGTATGGGAAAATGTACGGAATTTTACCTGAAATTCGCATTTTTCCATGCATTTTCCCATACATTTCCGTGCCAAATTTTTTATAGGGCAAGTAAACCTTATTATGCTAAATCAGGAAGATCCAAATCCCTCTAAAGCTAATTGCGGCTTCATGCTTGCTTCCATCAGCTAGAGATCTCCTGCCACAATTAAAATGGTCAGTAAGTCCCCTTTATAAACAGATCAGGTCTCTATCCATAAGTTTTTGTGTGCAAAAAAATGTTCCTTATGTTACAGGCAGCATTAACATCTCGATTCCAATGTATCAGTCAGACCAATTTACAGACTCTGACTTATCAACCACCCATCACACAAAGAACAGACTGAGGGAATGTAGGACCTTGTCAATGTTCACCATCTTTCAATGTCTATAAAGTTCTCAGTGAAATTCTTTTACAGAATCTGGAGCATGCCTGCATGATGTTGATAATAATTTATCATTGCCGAATGTAACAGCTGTATTGTCACCATTACCATTTGTTATTCTCTTGCATGGAGCATCTCTGCTTATTGATAAAAAGATTTCCATTACAAATGACACCAATAATGTTCACCATAAAAATCAAGGATTGTATCAAGGCATAACAGAATTTAAGTGAGGTAAGAGCCATATTCATAGACATTTCTGGGTTTGTATTAGTATTAGGTGAAAGGTATGTAGTAATATTATTCAATGATATTCTTGTTTAATAGCAAAATTAAATTAACAAAGTATTAGTTCACCCTATGGTTGCTTGCCAAAACTCCTCTGGAAATCAATCAGCAGAGTTTTGGCAGGTAACACACTAATTGTTTGTTAGAGTTTTGACAGAGTTTCACATTTAGGGATTTTGACAATTAGCAGAGTTTTGGCAGGTTACACACTAATTGTTTATTAGAGTTTTGGCAGTCATTAAGAGGTTTCAGCAAGCAACCTTAGTTCACCCTGAATAAGAGCCTGAAGATATTTATTTTTTCCACATTTTTTACAAGAACAAACAAACCAGATTCCTTGTTGAGAAAATTTTCCCACCATAATATTTCATCCATAAGTTTTGATATGCAATGTTGCAATATTCGCATAAAAATTATGTAATAATTGCATTGAATGTAATAATTGCACAATTTTTGTATAATTTTTTGCATAATATTATGGGACTCACCATAAATTTATGTAAATATTTTAATAATTATATATAAATCATGCCAGAAAAAATTTCCTGATGAACTCACTGCTACAAACAGATCTATTCTTTCAGGGCCCAGCCAAATACCTTGCATCCATTAAAATCAATATTTGATCCTTCTTCATCAGCATCCTCTTTATTATCATCAACTTTCTTCTGCAGACAAACTGATACTGCAAGACCATCAGTTTATACAGGGTAAACAAAGATTTGATTTTGAGTGTTGACTTTATTAATATTAAATGCTTCCATCTACAAGTTTCCTTTTCAGCTCTGAATCTTTGAATGGTTGTTACACCTACTTTTTCAATTGATTTGTACCACATGATAAAGTGCTGTTTGGTTAGACAACCAAGAGCCTTCAAAAACAATTCAAGTCATTCTTTTAATAGCATTTTGGATTGCAGGCTCAAGATCTTTATCTTTAAGGGATTTTTCTAGTCCAGTTTTGACTGTGCATTGTATTGTATTTTGTGCCTTTTCCTGAACAGATTTGGATGTATTATGTTTTTGAAATTTACAACAGCTGCTTAAAGAACATGAACAAGGATGTTCTAAATATTAGGTTCTATTTCTAAAAAAATAGAGACAGATAAATGGTAAATATTTACTTGGTTTTTTTTGGTTGTTCTTTGTTTATGCCCTCCCTTGCTTTTCTTTTATAGAGGACTTCACATATGGTATACAGTCAAACCTTGTCACAGCAGACCTCACCACAACAGATTTCTTGTTACAATGGATTTAAATATTGGCCCCTTTTTTTTATTAATTAAAAATGTTTGTCATGATGGATTTTATTAATAAATTTGTTCCGCAACATTAATGGATTTTTGATGGGGGTCTTTCTATATGGCTACTGGTCTTATCACAGTGGACTCACATGACATATAAACTTATGAAATTTATCCAATTACAAAAAATGGATAAAACAAAATAATAAAGCAAACAATCAAATAGATTATTTTTTAATCAAAGGTCAGTATCAAAATAAAGCAATAAAACAAACAATCCAAAGATTTACGAGTAACAAATTTCTAAAATAAGCCAATACAAACAATTGATAGATTATTTGTCCAAATGTTTGCGAGTAATAATTTTTTCCGAGTTTCTAAAATAAATCAATAAACAAATAATTGATAGGTTATTTGTCCAAACGTTTGCAAGTAACAAATTTTCTAAAATAAATCAATAAATCAATAAATCAATAAATCAATAAACAAACAATTGATAGTTGTCTGAGTAACAACCTTTTCCAGGTTTCTAAAATAAATCAGTAAATAAACAATTGATATATAGATTATTTGTCCAAATTTTCGTGAGTAACAAATTTTCCAAGTTATTAAAATAAATTAATAAACAAACAATTGAAAGATTATTTATCCGAATGTGTGCAAGTAACAAAAATTTCCAATTTTCTATAATAAAACAGTTATCCAAATGTGTGCGAGTAATAGATTATTTACCAATTTTTAAAACAATAAACAAAGCAAGATCATTTTCCCAAAGATTCATAATAAAGTCAATTAGATTATAAATAATTTAAAGATTTAAATCATTGAAAAAAAAAAAGAAATTATTAGACTAATACAACCAAATATTACAATTATTTGTATTTTAGATTATTATTATTAAAAATTTTTTGCCGATCATCATCAATTTTGCCAAAGCAGATTTCTTGTTATAACGGATTTTTTTTGTCTGGAACCATGAATCCGCTGTGACAAGGTTTGGCTGTATATTTTTTTTTTGTGTGTTTTTCTCTACTTCATCATCATTGGGAGCTTTTGTTGGCTTGATTTTTGATTACCTACTATACATACAGCCCAAATTAGTTTGGTGATTTCGATGGTCAAAATTATTCAAATTTTGATGGTAGAAAGTAGAATTAATTATGGCATTCACTATTAATATATATTAAAAACATAAATGTAACACCCCTTTACGATATGTGTAACCCCATTTAATGACAGTGTCAAAATTGAAATGATGATAGTGTTTGAATTGAAATGGAATTGACAAGATAAATTAAAATGTAATCAATAAAAACATTTGAATTACTGTAATCACAATTCAAATAATTGGTTTAAAACGAAGTTTGAGTTGACACGTTGCTGATCAATATAAAAAAAACTTTTTTTTATAACGGGGAAATTGATGAAAAAAAATAACTATTTATTACATCAAGACTTGTTTGCTTAAAATAAAAATTTCCAAATCAGGTAAAGCAATTTTTATGTTTTTTTTGGCACAAGTAAAAACTCAAAAAATTGATTGGTTCCAGTGAAAAAATCTGGTTTAAAAAACCTCAATAAAATTGATAAATTTTAATAGGCAGATGATAAAAAAACATTGGTTTATCGTGTATATTCGTTTAATCAAAGCATTTCTGACTGTATTAAGTTTAGATATAGGTTTATTCCTTAAGCATTGTCTTTGTTTTGTGGTGTAGGTGTAGATAATGAGATAAAAAAAGATCAAATATCTTATCTATCCCATAATAATATTGATTGTATTAATTAATCTCTCACGCCTACGTCGATCTTTTCGATCAAGAAAAAAATAACTTTCATTAATCATAAGAAGCACCTTGTTTTTTTTTTTCATTTTATTCTCCCAATCCTGTTTAGTAAAAGTTGAGTTTTCTTTGCTCTGTATGTTCTGTATGTTCGTTCAGCTCATTCGTTTAAGATTAAATCATTTCCAATAATTTCTTTCATATTCATATTGAATTGACTTAATTATCTTTGGTTTTTTTATCAATATTACACTGGCGGTGGTGGTGATAGCAGCACCACTTTTATTAATTATTAATCGAGGTGGAATGTACTATATCATTTTTAGTGATTTTATTACTGGATGATGATGATGATGATGATGAGAAATTTCTCCATTTCCATATTTCCATTTGCATTTCCATCCGTATTTGCATTTCTACTTGATTTGCATTTCTGTTTGTAATTGCAATTATATTTATATTTGCATTCGCAATTTCCCGGACTTCAAATTCTACTTCTTTAATTTGATAATAGTCTTTACAACTTTCTATTTAATTTCTCTTAACAGACACTCAGAAGCAAAATTTGCATTTATGTTTGTGTTTGCCTTTCCATTCACAATTTCTTCTATTTCTCTTCAGATTCTACTTCCTCAGATTATTCTTATATTTGATAATAATCTTTACACTTTTCTATATACTTAATAGGTGCTCAGAAGCAAATGCAACATGTTTTCTTTTTTGTCATTTTAATAATAAATTTTTTTATTTGTGTATGACACGTAAATAATGTGTGAATGCAAAAACAATTATGAATTTTTATTCCAATTTAGTTTTTTTAGCTTTAACATTATCATCTTTACTATTATCATTGTTATCGTTAGATTTTGTTGTTCTGTATAAAAAAAAATATATATTAATTTATTTAAAACAAATAACCAACTCAATTACTCATCATTCACTTACTTTTTTGTTGTTGTTGTTGTTATGTTTCTAAAAGCAATTTCATCAGCTAATTGAAAACTAACACAAAACATATCTTTATTTGGTGCAACTTTTCTAACAAAATGTATATTATATTTATCAATGCCACCATCATTAGATTTTTCTAATGGCATTTCCAAAATTTTGTTGATTCTCTTTTTTTAAAAGAAAAAAAATAACAAAGTAGTTAGTGACAAAGAAAAAGAAAGTTTATGATTGACGACTAATGCCTATTAATATGTAGTTATTTGTAACCAAAATAAATAATACATAAAATAAATATATAAAATAAGAACATACTTGTATAATCTCTTGTTTAGGATTCTCGCTTTTTGAAAAACAATGACAATGTATAGTTGGTAAATTGATTTTTGAATTTCTTATTTCTTTCTCTTGACCTGTATATAATCCTTTAAATACATCTATATACATATATACATTAATTTACTATATGTATATGCATGATAAATAAATATAAGTCATAATAATTGTAATAATTGTAGTAATTTACCTAAAAATTCTATAGCAGATGCAGGCAAATTCATTACAAAATGATCAAAAATTCGAAAATTTGATGAATCTGATGATGATCTCAAGTTTTCTGAAGCATTTTTTATAAACTCTCTTCCATCTAAATTGTATGGATGAACTTTATCTTTTACCTATATATTACCAAGAAATAGTTAATAATAATTTATTTATTATCAATATATTATTTATTTTAACATTAACATTAACATTACTATATTGTTATTACTAATAACATTATTGTTACCTTGTTCAGTATAATATTTTCTTGAAGATATTTGTATGATTCAGGATTAAGATCATTTGCATAAACAATGCATCCTTTTTTTGCAGCAGGAATTGAAAATGGACCAACTCCAGCAAAAACATCGCCTTAATTCAATTGGAAAATTTTTTAAATAGAATATATATACAAAAGAGCAAATATATATAAATATAATTACATATATAATCTCCTTTTTTAAACATTTTTATTATACGATCATGTTCTGTATGTAATCGTGAATTCCAATAGACTTTAGAAAAATCAAATCTAAATTTACAATTACTTTCTTTCTAACATTTAATTAACTCATATAATGAATAAATGAATATATAAATTATACAAATATATAAAATGTAAAAAAAGAAAAAACTAACCACTTCAGCCATCAAATTATGTTCTCCTGCCAAGATTTCCATTTTAAAATGTCTATAAGTAGAATCAATCATATCTGTTTTATTAACAACTGTGGTGATTTTGGAATTCTTCTATATATCATATATATAATTTCAAAAAAATTAATAATATAATTCTTTTTAAAAATTTCCAATAATAATAATGACAATTACTATTAACAATATCTAATTATAGATAGTTACATCAAGAACAACTTGACTAATTATATATTTCCAAGGTATAAATTCATCACGTAAATTCATGTGTGCTATATCATACAATTAAATAAATATTCTCAAGTATTTTGTTTGTTTCAATTATACTACTAATATCATTATTAATATTACCACTACCACTAATAGTATCATCACTACTAAATCTTTTACCTATGTGACCAACTTGTGTAAATGATGATGGTACTTCAACTCCTTCAGGTAATATTGCTTTAAGAATATCATCTATATTAAAATCATTAAATCATTAAATTATTTAATCAATCAAATAAATCAAGTCAATTGAGTCAATCAGCCATATATATATACACACACATACCAGCACTCCAATAATCATAATTTAATTCAACTGAATGACTTATAATTCCATTTCCTTCCTTCTTTATAAACTCTTTAGTCTCTTCAGAAATATTATCAAGTTCTAATGTTTTAACTTTTGGATTTAATAAAACTATTTTGGTTGAATTTGAATTTGGATCATCAATAACATTTCTTAATTTTGGTTGATTAAATAGATCTCTAAAAAATAATTGATTGATAAATGTATGAAAGATATATATATTTATACTGTTTATAATTATAAACTTACTCTTTTAATGTTTTTGTAAATTTTGATATGGAATTTATAGGAACACGGACACCTATAACCTCAATAGTACGCTTAAATAATTCTTTATCAAGAGCCTTAATTCCACGTTGTATAGGAGGTGAAAACATCATTACTATTATGATAATTTTTTTTTAATCTGTCAAAAATCGATAAAAAATGTTACATTGTTACACGTGGTGATCTCTTTAATACAAATTAAGTATATACGTTAAATATATCCGGCGACTGTTTAATCTTTAATATTAAATGTGTGCAGGTGCCGGCAAAACAAAAAAATAATAATATATATGTTTTTAAAAATATATGTCTTTATATATATTTTCTTAATAAAATATTGCGTCTTTTTTTTTGGGCGCTAGTTATCAGTTACATGATATTGTCTTGTGAGAGTTAGATATTAATTATCTGAAAAAATTCTTGATCATATGTGAAATATCGATGTCCATATAATACAAACATGTACTTATCCCGGTTTAAAAATTGCATATACTGTTTAGGATTATCGGTAAATCTACCTTGAGTTATTCGTCTGTTATTTCTAGATTTGCGAGACATATTTGACGTATATATTAATATGAATAAACGACTTCAATTTTTTATTTTTTCGTCATATCGGAAAATAAAACATGCAAAGAAAAGACGAAGATCACATTACTATCATAAATAAGAATACGCAAGACATTTGATTATGGAGAGTTATGTAGATATTTAGAGGTGAATAACATCGAATCAGATATTCTCAATATGTAGTGGAAAATTATCGGATATATGTAATAATTAGCTTTTTTTCGAATATATGTATGTGTAATAGACCACTAGGGCCAGCTTTATTGAAATAGGAAAAATACAAGATACTGGATATAAATACTAAAGGAACATAGAAAATTAGCAGAACTCTAAGGATACAACTATTTATTTCCTTTTCTTTCTTCTAGGTTTTTCAATAGTCGATGTAGTCTCATCAGAGGATTGTCCACCGCTAGACTCATCAAGACGTGCTAAAAGATTATGTAATGTAAAGACAACGGCAGTCTATAAAAAAAAGTATCAGTGATTTGTAAAATACATCCTAATAATAGAAGAATCAAAACATACTCGTAATGTTAATAATGCATGGATGAGCGTATAGACTTCATCGGGGGATGCAATTCCCAATGGGATCTTCGCCGTTGTGAGTAAACGATAAACAAGAATCCCATGTTCTTTTCTCATCACATAGATTTTTATCATGTCGCCTAAAAAAAACTTTTAGCACATTTCCGAAAAAAATGATAAAATAAAAAATATACATACTCGCAACATTAACCGTAAATATAGACAAATGTTCACTCAATGTCGACTTTTTTAGTGATGCTTTAAGTTCTGATCTGGTTTTTTCAATCGAATCCTTAGAGAGTCCTGCTAATTTTCTATGATCCTCCAGCTGTTTCACGTGTGAAGATTTCGGACGACCAGTTTCACAATATAATAATTCAACCTCTACGTCACTTATTTCTACCGTAAACATATAATCTGGTTTCTTTGCACATCTCAAATCGCCCGCTCGAGATGCACTAACCAAGCTTCGTTTATCCCTAAGTTCAAAAAATAATAAAGTCAAAGTTAAGGCTTAATCAATAAAAGAAAGAATACCAACCATGCACCCCAAGCCTCGCATTTTATAGGTATCCCATTCATGACTGTATCAAATAGCCGTGTCAATACTTTGCACATATATGATGTCTCATTTATTGGCATTTTATGGCGGACAAATGCTCTATACTTGGTTGATACCCATAAATGATGCCTAAAATATAGTTTAGATTGATTAATTACAGCACATATATGATTAATAATGTAGTAGATACTTACAATACTTCAAAAATCTGTGTAGTAATTGATTCTAACTTTTCCGATGAATCTAGCCATTTTCCAGCAGATACTATACGGGGCGATAATGCTGTTTCTTCCGCCAGAATACGTTTCTCCTCCTCAAGAGTAAATTTTTCACAAAGATCATTTATCTTTTTGTTTTTTTCTATCAAAAAATCATCGGCCCTTTCTATAAGGAATGCATCAATAAGAATAAAAATATACAGTATTGAAGTTCAAATATATTGTTTTAAATTACCTGTAACACAGTACGAAGCTCCGGCAATAACGTTCAGATTCGCAGTCCAAAATTCCAGAACATACTGGGTGATCGTACCCTAATTTACTCAAATCCAATTTTCCTAATTCATTTTTCACTTTTTCCTACATCTTGTATTGCAGTCCAGAACATTTTTTCATTGCCTAAATTTGATATAGTCTTAAATATTATGATCTAATGAAAGCAATGACCCATACAAAAAACATACCGATTGTACATTACGAATGACCATCTTGACATTTTCTTCTGCTCGACTAACCCAAGACGTTCTATCTTCACCCTATGATGTTGTTAGTGATATCAAAAATATATCTTATCAGATTCGACATGAACTAGATCATAAAATAAACTTTAATTTCATTTACTGAGCTCTGCATTTTCAGTAAAGTTCTTATATCTTCGAACGCCGATATTACCTGAGGAAAAAAATAGATAATATTATCAACCGAATTTTATAAAGAAAGGAAAGCAAAAAAAAATTCGCGACTTTTTTTCAGTAAATGCCGGCATATAAACTTGTGCATGCATGAGGTAATTAATCGAATTTGGTTAATCGCACAAATAAACATGCATGCATAATTTATATAGTCGCACTACATATACAAGTCTTCCGAAATTTATGGGTCGTACACAAACAATTATTTATTATTATTATTATTATTATTATGGTGATACGCAAAAGTAAACAAAATTTTCGATCGTTATAATTTATAACGCGCACGTGTTTTTTTACATTTTGAAAAAATCTATTTAAAAAATTTTCGATGATCCATTTTTTAATGCATTATCGAGATGCATATGAATACTATTTTTTTTACGTGGCCAAAAAATGAAATAGGCCGCACTCAAATGTGGCCAAAAAAACGGATTAGGCCACATGGGGGAGTTATAGTCTAAAATAAGTGGGGAGGTTGTAGTATAGTATATCTATACTATACTACAACCTCCCCACTCATGCTTAAAATCTACTTGAAGGTGCTTAAAATGTGCTTAAAACATACCTTTTTTAATAATGAACAAAATTAAGTATGTTTTAAGTAACCTTTTAAGTGTATTTTAAGTGTATTTCAAGTATGCTAGTTTACCATCAAAAGTATATTTTAAGTATATTTTAAGTATATAGCATATTTTAAGTGTGTTTTGAGTATAATTTCATATACTTAAAACATACTTAAAACTCACTTAAAATGTTCTTGTTCTCTTCCATCAGTATATTTTAAGTATATTTTAAGTACATGATGTATATTTTAAGTGCATTTTAAGTACATTTTAAGTATCTAAACTTTGTGTAGGGTTAGTGGGGGTTATAGAGTGTTTATCAACTCTAAAAAATAGTGTTGGAAAAGAAAAGAGAAATTCTTTGCAGCTTCAGTGTTGTGACCCGAAACTCTGAGTTTAGGGAAAACCCGAAACAGAAACTAACAGAAACCACCCGAAACTAGTTTAGGTTAGTAATTTAGGTTTAGGTTTAGTTTTCTGCTTAGTGTAAGTTCATTTTCCGAAACTTTTTGGGAAGCCAAAAGAGTTTCTGGTCACAATCAAATAGATATATGTTATTTTTTATTTGTTGAAACTTCTGGATGTAATTTCATTTATTTAAAGTGGTTTTAGCATGTGGACATTCTTTGTTGTCACATTTGTATGACATTCAACAAAAAAATTTTATCACCAATCTCATTTTGCAGAATAAGTTGGGATTTTTGCTTTTAAATGTTAAGAAAAACATTGATAAAAATCTGGGGCTAGCTAATTACTTTTTTTCAATGAAAAAATAGAATTTGTATTATCAATAGAGATGACAAAGAAATCCATGTGGACCCATATTAATCTAAAGGTCACAAACTAGAATGGTGCTTTAATGCAAGAGACTTTAATGTAGTTATAAATCCTGCACATGATCACTAAAAGCATTATTTTCAATTTAAGACAAATACAATAATCAATTCATTCTTTTAGCACTTAAAAATCTTTGATTAAAAAGTTCATAAAATGTACTTCTTTTTCTGACCTCATCCATCAGCTGTTTTACTTTCTTGAAAAATGAGTATATACAACAATGGTAAAAAATTTCTTAGGAAACATGTTTATTGCAGTGGTTTTAGAGTAAAAAATCAAAAAACTTCATTCTATTTTGATATTTGCAGAATGGATCTGTTAAGTCAAAAAAACACCATTACTATCAGTATTAAATATTTAGAAGATCATGATACTTGTCATCACATTGCTGGGAGATTCTATGGACAATGTAGAGGAATCATTAGAGAAGGATTGAAGGACAACCCAGAGATATCAGAAAAGAAGCATTAAAAGATATTAGGCCAGACATAAGATTTACTGGAAACAGGCAAAATGTTCCTTCGGCAAGTGCTTTTAGAACTATAAGTCTGAATCTAATCCATCAAAAGACCATAATTTGCTTGAAAAAATGCATGTCACAATTATGGAAGTAAATCAAGCAGAGAAAGATGATTATGTTAAAAAAAATGGAATGGATTCATTAAACAAAAGAAAACTATTAGGATATATTCAGGATCTGGTCCAGACAGAACCATTGTCAATAGTGTTTTATAATAAAGCATCTCTTGAATACTATCATCTTTATGCTTCAAGAAACCCTGGTATTTTCATTGATTATACAGGACAGCTCATCAAGCCTGTACCTCCATATTTATGTGCCAAATATCAAGACAATCAAAATGATTATAAAAAAATACTAAATGCACTTATAACAATGCCATCAGGAAGTGGACCCAATGCACCACCAATAGATATTTTAGAATTAGTTACCAATGATCTTACTGCAAGCAATTTGTGAAGATATGTTAATAAATTAAGAGATGATGAATTCAAAATTTATAAGTCACAGACAATACCTTATCTAATTATGTAACAATTTACTTGTCAACATCTTGTATAGTACATTAATATTACATCTGGAAACGTGACACATAATTAATCATTATTTGTAACATCGTATCTTTAATTACTATTTATTATTTATCTATGTCCACAAATCTTCCAGATAGATTGATAAGAGTTATTATGATTATTTTATTTATATTTTATCAATCTTTTATTATTATTTATATTTTATTTATATTATATCAATCTATGTAATTTTATTATATAAAGGACATCATTTTTAAGATAATAAAGATAACTTGTATTTTTACAATAATTAAAGTACCTGTTTGACAAACATGTTATAATATTATTTTTATTTTCGTTAAGAAAAGTAATTCTTACAAATTAATTGTGATTGTGGAAAAAACATTTGGTTGCATGTTTGGCAGCTTATAACAATGAAACTATTAAGCAATATAATGACAGAATATTAAAAAATTTAATTAAAGGTGAGAAAATTGATCCAGGAGAAGTAATAATTGCTTGGTGCTATTCACACTGTATAAATGCGATTAGAAATTATGTAAGGTCTAAAAAATTCAAACCTGAACAATTTAATATAGACAAAATTACATTTTCAACATTTTGCAATGAGAGTCTGGAACAGAATTAGGATTAGTACATCACTCATTGATATAAAAAATGAGATAGAAAATTGGAATTGGTTTCTGAATCAATCATTATTTAATTTAATATTCAACTAGAAAGAAAAACCATTTTCAATGAATGATATTTATTTCAATGATGAATATTCTCAACTGAAGTAAATTCTGGACAATCAATTGAAGAGGAAGATGATGATGATGATGATGATGAGAATACAATCAATAAATCAATTAATAATAAGTTTGAGTATAAAATTAATAATAATTTATTATTTTTAATATTGGAAGAAAATAAAAATTATATTATTGATTTTCCTACATTAAATATAAAAATGAAAGTATTATAACATAATGAAGCTTGTCAACAAATATATAATCCATTATATAATCCATCTCTTCAGAACTACTTTGAAAAAACTTGGTGGAATTCTATGTTGTTTTGGTCGAATGTTTTACCTGCAATAAAAGTTTGTACATGAAAAACAACAGCAACAGTTGAAGTTGAAAATAATATTATTAAAAACATGGATATCAAAAAATGCAACATATCTGTGGAGCAATATATCAAATTGCATGTAGATTCAATCAAATCTTCACAACATTTAATTGCAGAGAAACTATTACAAGTTCACAATCCCTATTCTAGTGATAAAAAGACTGACCAAAAAATTATAGATGATCCAAGTGAAGAATGGCAAAAAGGAAAGTGTAAACTATTTACAAAAGAGGAAAGGATGCTTGTGGTTAGATTTAAATCTGTAGTAGATTATCGCAAAAATATTACAACTACAAGTCAAAAACAGATTGCCAAAGAAATTTGTCTAAATTCCAAAGTTGAAATTGGTTTAAATCAATCAATGATATCAAAAATATACAATGGTACAGATATACCAAAATGTAACAATACCTTAGATGCAATTAATTCTTGGATTGATAAAAATGCTAAAATTAAAATTATATAAAATGTGTATAATCATGAAAATCTAATTCATAATTTATTTGTGATAATTATTTATTTATTAATATTTTATTTTTTTATTTTAATTTATATTTAATAATATGTATTCTAAAGGACATCATTTATAAGATACTAAAATCCAAGAACTAAAAAATTGTCAATTTTTCCTATACTTCCTATACATGATATGTCATTTAAATTAAAATAAAAAAATAATTAGGATATTTTAATAATATTGCTGCGCAAATTTGCGGATATTTTCGAATATTCTCATGGTTTTACAGAACACTGCGCAAATTTGCGGGTATTTTTGCGGATAACTACACGATTATGCAGATAATGCAGCATGAAAATTCACCATCACTATAGGAACCTTTTTGATTGGTCGAAAATATTTTTAAAAGAGAAAAAACAAAATCATACATAATGTGGAAAAACAACAACAGAATCACTTCTCTAACCATTGTATTTTTTATTCTAACTTTTTCACTTATAAGATCAAGTTCAGCTTTATACTTCTATCTTGAGGGAAATGACCCAAAGTGTTTTAATGAAGAATTGCCAAAAGACATACTTGTTGTAGGTTTGTTCAATTTATTTTTGACGGATGATTTTTTTTTGTTGGTCTTTTTTTTATATATATAATTTTCCTTTTTTTTCCTTTTGTTAAAAGGTACCTATAAGGCAGAAGAATGGTCTGATACACAACAACAATATATTGAAAATACACAACTTGGGATTCAAATAATTGTAGAGGTATTCATATCATATATATTTATTTACTGATTCCATGTTCTTGATGATAATGAAGGGATGTTATGATAAAAAGTTTTTTAATTAATTAATTAATTAATAAAACTCAGGAATTACCTCATAATCATCGTATTGTAAATCAAAGAGGTGCAAATAAAGGTCGATTCACTTTTACCACAGCAGAAGCAGGCGATCATATCATATGTTTACAAACCAATTCAAGTAATTGGTTTTCTTCTACACAAACGGTTTGTTGGAATTTCTTTACAAGTTTTATATTTAGTTGAAGTGGGAAAAAACAAAGAGAGATGAGAACTTATTTTCTTAATTTTTCTTTTTTAAAAGAAATTACATTTAGATATCGTATTTGGTGACTCGACTGATAGTGAAGATAATCATGAACATTTTAGTGGTAGATAGATATAATTATATGTAGCAAGTTAAATCTGCGTGTTTTGTAATAATTTGAATATTGTTATTATTGTTACTATATAGATCTTGCACAAAGAGTCCATGATTTAAATTATCGTGTTACAGATATCAGAAGAGAACAAAGTTATCAACGTGTAAGTATTAAAAGTGACATTTATCATTTTGACCTCTTTAATAATAAATATATAAAATGTATTTTAGGAACGTGAAGCAGAATTTAGAGATCAATCTGAACTTACAAATTCACGTGTATTATATTGGACAATAATTCAATTAATTGTTCTTGGAATCACATGTTTATGGCAAATGACCCATTTAAAGAATTTCTTTGAAGCAAAGAAACTTGTTTAAACAAAAAATTATAGATCTTTTAGATATTTAAAATTTATTAATTTAAATTTATATATATTATTTCATAAAATTTCTAACAAATAACTTTGGTGAATAAACTATTTATATATATTAATTAATATATATATAATAAAATCGTTAACATTGATTTTATTTTATTTTATGAATAAGATATTTATTTATAAATTATCGATAAGTTGGTTGAGCAATCACTGCATTGTCTTTATGAAAATCTATTATAATAAATTATTAATTTTATTAATAGAGGACAATAATAAAAATATAAAAATATATTTCATACCCAAAATTTCTTGATACATTCTAATTTTCCAATCATCAGTTGGAAGGTCTGTTTCATTAAATGACCAATCAAATGCTTCATCAGCAACATGCTCATCTGACTCATCATGATATGGATCTAGATATTTATCAGCTAAAGCTTGCTCAGCAGTGATTCGTGTTTTTGGATCAAGAGCAAGCATTTTTTCAAGTAAATCCAATACTTTTTAAATAATAAAAATATTTATTATTATGGTTATTATTATTTGTAATTTTTTTCCCGATAAATCATTATTTACCTTCAAAATCAACATTTTGAAATTTTTGAGATAATGGAACCTTTTCTCTTTTTGGCAATGATAATACAAATTCCAAAGTCTATCAAAGGAATATTTATTAAAATCATTATTTGTTAAATCGTTATTAAACAAAGATAAATTATAATAAATACATACAGCATCATTACAAATTGTTTTGATTACATCGTCTGATGGTGTGCCAAGTAATTCTGTAATAATTGAAAATTGGTTCATATCTAATAGTAAATAATAATATTTAAAAAAAGCTTGAGTTTCCACCCAAAAAAATTTCTTTGGTAATGAATGGTTTACAGATATTTTTATTTTAAAAAATTTATTTTCAAGTAAAACTTACAATCTTTCCCAGGAAATAAAGGTTTTCCCATTATCATTTCTGCCAAAATACAACCAGCACTCCATATATCCACTATATAATATTAAAATCAATTATTTATTGTTATTTTTATTATTAATATTTCAATAATATAATGAACTCCCTCTTTTTCTTCTTTAGCAAATGATGAGCAACAACAAATTTCTTCAAAAACGCCCATTATCACATTATCATTCATTACCTGCTACATCATATTTTTGCCATGTTAGCATGATTTCAGGAGCTCGATAATATCTAGTTGCAACATAACCAGTCATCTTTGGGTCTTGAATTCGAGCCAGCCCAAAATCACAAATCTTTAAAAAATATATAAAACCATGCATATTAAAATTACATCAATTGAATTAATTAACCCCCCCCCCCATTTTATAAATACCTTCAAGTCACAATTTTCATTAATTAAAATATTGCTTGGTTTCTAGTTAAGACCATAGAGTCTCTTTTTAGGAAAAATAATAGACACACACAAGTCAACAGTTTCAAAAAAAAAAAAAAAGATACATACCAAATCTCTATGGATCACACCAGCTGAATGAACATACTTTAAGCCACGCTAAATATATATAATACAATAATGTCATGTACAATTCATTGTTAATAAATTTATTTATTTGATTGATTGTATTTTAAAGTCTCACCAATATTTGATATAAAAAGTATTGAATGAATTGTTTTTCCAATGGAGATGAAGTTAACAATTGATGTAAATCTGTTTCCAATAATTCTGTAACAAAATAACTAAATATTATGAAAATGTGATTTGCAGATTTTAGTTCACATGTTTAGGAAAAATCTATTACTATTCATTTCATTTCAAATTTGCGTAATGGTCTATTAAATTTATACTTACATGTCCTCTAATGGCGAAATAAAAACATCATTTAAACTAATAATCTATTGTTTAGTCATAATATAAGTTTATCAGTGATCAAAATAATTAAAAAAGAAAGAAAAAAAAAATTACATTTTCATGTTTCAATTGCTTGAGTAATTTAAATTCTCGAAAGGTTCTTTTTGCAAGAACAGGTGTACTAAAAGGCTTTACAATTTTTTTGATGGCAACATTGGTTGTTTTAAGTTGGTCTTTTGCAGAACTGCAATGATTATTATTATTATTATTATTATTATTATAGAATAATTATTATTTTAAATTTAATGTAGCATTCATTACTTATATCTACCAAACTAAACCAAATGCTCCCATGCCAATTGGTTGAAGATCCACATATCTATTTTATTTTGTTTAAATTTGTTTTATATTATATGTTGTTTGCTGGTTAGAAACTCATATTAAAAAACAATTTATCAAAATGCCTTGTTGTGACTTCAAAAACGGTTCCAAATATTGATAATTTCACGAAATCAGTCATATTAGTTATTTCATTTATGAGAAAAAAAGAATAAATGTATGCTTGTTTTCCATCTTTATTATTTTTCAATATCCAACAATACATCATTATGAAGTCATCAAATCTTAATTTCTAGTCGATCTTTGCATAATATCGTTGTATAATATCGTGTAACAAATATATACTTGTTAGCCACAAAGAATACACGTTATTAGTAAAATTTTTCTCAATATGTCGATTATGTGGGCAGACAAATATAAACCTGACACTTTTCAAAATCTCAACTATCATGAAGACATTTCGAAAAGATTAAAAACTTTGGTGAGCTTTAAGACCAAAAGTTGAATAAACACGTAAAAAATGTTATTTATTATTAAAATCAAATTATAGGCTTCATCGGATGATTTTCCACATTTACTCGTATACGGACCCTCAGGTGCAGGTAAAAAGACGCGTATTGCTTGTACTTTACGAGAATTATTTGGTGATGGTGTTCTAAGGGTATATATATTTAATTTTAATTAAACATTATTTCTTGATTCTAGTGGATAATATTTTTTCTGATAACGTTTCTCCTATTCTTATTCTTCTTTAGATTAAATCAGATCAACAAACTGTTACTCCGCCTTCAAATAAAAAATTCGAAGTTAACATAATAGCAAGTAATTATCATATTGAAATATCACCTAGGTAAATCAAATAGATAATGTACTCTAATGAAATTTCTTCTTGACCATCTAAACTGATTTATTATCATTACCATTAGTGATGTTGGAATTCATGATCGAATAGTTATTCAACAGTTAATCAAAGATATTGCACAGACTCAACAAATTGATGCAAGTGCTAGGCATAAATTCAAGGGTGATTAATTTTAAACATTGCAACCTTTTTAAATTTTTTTGATGACAACCATAATGTTAATGCTAGGTTTTCTTTATTTATGTCATGTCTTTGGCCAGTTGTCATAATTGATGAAGCAGAATCTCTTACTCGTGAAGCACAAGCAGCATTACGTCGAACAATGGAAAAATATATGACAAATCTTAGAATAATTCTTTGCTGTAATACAATAAGTCGAATCATTGAACCTATTAGAAGTAGATGTTTATTAATTAGAGTACCTGCACCTACTATTGATGAGGTAAAGACCTTTAAAGATATATATATATATATAATGTATTTAATGTATTTAACAATATAAACACTGATTGATTGAAAATAATAATAATAATTAAAATTAGATTACTAGCATACTTTTCAAGATTGCTCGTGAAGAAAGAGTAAATTTACCTAATAGAATTGCAAGAAATATAGCGGAAAGTTCAAACAGAAATTTACGAAAAGCAATTTTAACTTTTGAGACTATGCATTCAATGTAATTATAGTTAACATTTAAAAACTGATTGATTGATCGATTGATTGATCGATTGATTGATTGATTGATTGATTGATTAATCAATTAATCTGCTAATTACTTTATTTTATTTAGGAATGAGAATTTAAATAATAATGATGAGATTATAACCACTGATTGGGAACGATATATCAAAGATATGAGTGAAAGATTGGTTAAAAATAGTTCAAAGCCTGAAGAGTAATTACTCTATTAGAATTAGTTACTATATTATTTATGAGAAAATATTTTAATTTCTTCTTTTATTATAATAACAATAGATTAAAAAGATTAAGAAATGATTTTTATGATTTAATAAATCATCGTATTCCTCCCGCAACTATTTTAAAGGTAAATTTTATCATTTTACATGTATTTCGTTTAATAAATACTTATATTTATATAAATATAATATCTATATTTAGACATTGGTATCTGAATTGAGAAAAATCACTAATGGTAAAGTTAGAGGTGAAATCATCAAAGAAGCCGCACGATATGTTTGTATTAATAATTAATTTATCTGATTATCAAATTAGATACATTCTCATGATTGATTTACACATTCTTACTATAGGACCTTCGAGTGAAAGTTGGTCAAAAATCTATTTTTCATCTTGAAGCATTTGGAGCAATAGCCATGAATATAATTAACAATTATTAATAAAGACGTGAAAAAAAATTCTAATTTCGGAATAGAATACTTTTTGTCCGATATAAATATTCAAATCGAATTATCCGTTCATACATCGATTTATACTTTTTATCTTTATGCTTTTAATATTAAATGGATTATCTAAAAGCAAAGAATACAAATAATAAAGGATATAACCTCGGATATGTTGTATAAATATAAATATAAATGGGTCAAAAATCTTGATCTGTACTACTATCAAATGAGGTCCTCAAATTTTTATCAACTGATAATCAAAATTTTTTTTAGTTCAATGTAATTAATGTCTTTCAGGTAAAATCAGAAACAGCTTTCTTAAAAAGTCAAACGTCTGTAAAAAAGAAATGAAGGAATATATATTTCAACAATCATGATGACACTTCATTAAAAAATATCGACTACAATTTTAAATATATCAACAGTATAAAGAAATGGTAGTATGTAGCAATCAAACTTTTTTCTTTCCATTCATCAAGGCCTCAGAAATCGTTGGTCTTTCTTATTTAGACGAAGGAAACTCACTTCTGTCTAGGTTAATCCGGCACTCGCTCTGTTTCTCTTTCAATGTAATGTCATTTCAGTGTGGAGAATTTAGAATCATATAGACGCTCTCATTAATAATGGCAACTTTTCTCTTTATTATACTCATTGCTTATATTCATTTCCAAAATGTAGAGAATGCTAGGACTTTTTATAGCACTAGCGGTGGCAAAAACAGCAATATCAGTAGCATCAAGTGAAAAAGGAAGTTAAATAATAGAAATCAGAGGTTATTCAAGAAATGAAAAGGGCGTCAAAAAGAGTACACAATAGTTAATTTACCATTAGTTTTCTCAACGATGAGAAAAAATTATATAATGTGGCGTGCTTTGATTATTATAGTCTGGCCCATTTCACATAACTAAACTCTGCACGACAAACTTTTTTATTTGGAGGAAGCACGAACTATATTCATACAATTTTAGAATGTAAATTATTGCTCGAGAATGTGTCACTATATATTCATTAGGAAAATTAGTAGTAATAATAAATGTTCTACGGGTCAACATAGAATAAGCAAATAGTTGACGTAAAATATACATAGAGTGTATATTAATTATTCTCTTGAAAGGAAAAGGCTGAATTATTGATATCTTCACACTGTCACCACAAAACATTTAACGATTATGATGACAAAATAAACAAAGTGTAAGCATCTTGGATAATATTTATAGTTAACATGGGAAACAATAGTGCATTCGTTTGTTCTATGAAATTATTCAATCACATTATTAATGAAATCAAATAAATTAAATCAATCAACTCAGTTAATTGTCTCTCAATTGTTAAACAACTTTATATGTCTCTTGCATTTCGTCTGCATCTTAACACCCATTCAGATTTTTTTTTTACATTAGATCATCTAACCGTTTCTATTTCACTCGCTTCTTCCGTATTGAAAAAATGAAATCTACAAACTCAATCAGTCGTCAATCAAGGTTCAATTAAATAATTTATGATATATATTAGTTATATATATAAATTTAAAATGACTGATACATGCGCAAACAAAAAGGTAGAGGACCACAAGAAAACGTGTCCATTAGATGTAATTATTTTTTGCAACTTGGTACTAAAAAATTATTCTTTTCAATTAAAATTCTAAAAAATAATAACTTATGATTTCATTGATGTATGGAGTTCTCCTAAAGCAATCATAATAAGATCATTAAGTCTTATTTAAAAAAATTTTTTTTTTAAATCACTGGTTGTCTTCAACAAATATTGAATCAAATTCCACTACTATGATTTTGACCAAGGATAATTCAGGCCAGGGCTTTGCATTAAATAGCTTGGAAGTCATAGTTCGTCATTCGCTGAGTCTCTACAAACAACTCTTTATTATTATCATGTATGTATATTTTTATCAATGCAGTTAAAATTCTTACACATAATTAAAACCATAAAGATTCTAGTTAACATTATTAGCCTGACAAAAATGTATATATATTAATATGAGAAGCTTCTAGTTACAAAGTAAGGTTTTTGATTATTTTTTAATTACATGCTCTCTTTCATCCAAACTAAATGTTCTCATTTTATAACAACATTATTTATTTCTTTAAAAAATTTAATTGCCAAATTTATTTTATATTAAAAATATATACAAGAGTAAATATATATACATACATAACATTAAGAAGTATTAAATTCACCAATTTTTTAAAAAAGAATAAAATCAATTGATAACTTCCATTTCCCAACATTATATCAAAAAAAAGAAATTAAACTTTGTGTAAACGCTTGTGGCGGTTCAAGGTACTAACTGTGGCAAAATTTTTGCCACAGTCATTACATTTATTGTTCTTGTTCTTGCTCTTATTGTTCTTATTGTTCTTATTGTTCTTATTGTTCTTATTGTTGTTATTGTCATTATAGTTATTATTACTGTTGTCGTTATTGTCATTGTTGTCATTGTTGTTTCTGTCATTGTTGTTGTTGTTGTCATTTTTGTTGTTGCCTTTGTCATCGTCACCAATATCATCTTCTGGATGCTTTAAACGTCGGTGTCTACTACGGTTGCTTGATGAGCTAAATACTTTTTCACATCCGGGAACTCTACATTTGAAAATATTTTTTTTCCCATCAGATTGTGATGAGGTAAAAGTGGCAGTGGCGTTGGGCATGTTTGACGTGGTGGGAAAAGGTATTGTGGTAGTTGTAGCAGCAGTTGTGACGGTTGTGACATTGGAATCAGGGGGGTTTTTATCATATTTTCTTTTTTGTTTTGTTATTGGTGATGATGATGATGGTGCTGGTTTATCTAGTTTCCTTTTCTTATAAATCTGATTTTTTTTCTCATCATTATCTCCGTTATAGTCATCATTGTTATTATCATCTTTGTTGTTATTATCGTCATCTTTATTATCATCACAAGTTTTGAAATCTTTAGGAAATGACCTCTTTCTTCCTCTTAATTTTTTAGGAGATTCTTCAACCTCTGTAAGATCAGATCCATAAAAGATATCATCAGTTGTATATTTAATGTTGCTATTTAGTTGATCGATATGATCACAATTCTCATCATTACGAGTGGTTTTTGATGTTGTTGATGATGATGGTGGTGGTGATGATGATGATGGAGTTGTTAGATTATTGCTGTCATCGATTTGAATGATCGCGGGCTTTTTTCTTTTTTTTTTGAGTACAAAATTGAAAGTCATGTCAAGGAATGGGATTTTTCCATCTTTACGTTTGATTAGTGTATCAATCTCCATCAAATATTCTGGATCATCATCTGAAAATACTAATTCATCTCTTTCATCATCATCAATCTCTATGTCATTGTCATTATTATCAACATTATCATTATTAACTCTAGAATTAATCATATCATTTGAATTAATGATAGTGCTAAAACTGCCCATGCTACTATTACCTATATTAAAACTATTGGCAAGACTATTATCAATGATACTAGCACTACTACAGATATCATCATTACCAAGTTTACCATTATTACTTTCGTTGTCATTTCTATCAGAAGATACATTGTTTAAAATGCTAGAAATGCTCATCATTTTGATTACTATAGTTGTAATTGTTACGTCTACTAAGAAAAAATAATAAATTCAAAATATTTTCAATATAAAAATTTTTTTTTTAAACCCGGATGGAATTTTTAAAAAAAAAAAGAGAAATGATCTATAATAATAATAATAATCTATTATTAAATTGGAAAAATTTTTGTGATGTAATAATTTATTATATGCAGATATAATTATAAATTCCTTAACAATCATAATAGTTTACAATGGGTGTTGTTTATTATAACAAGACACGAATTAAAAGTCCAAAAAATCTAAAATTTTATCATCACTATTACATCATTTGGGATAAATGAATTCTTTCGAACAAACAGATATATTGTATATGTGAAGATTTATGTGCGTTAGAAGATTCTTGATAATTATTAATTATTGTAAAAATAAAATTAATTGATAAAAAAAACATATTTTATCAAATAAACTCTCAAACATTTATCATTTGCTTTATCCTCTTCCTCTTTCTCTTCGCATCAAATATTACAATCATCATTTAAACAACATTTATCCAGTCAAACCTCGCCGCAGCGGATTGTAATTATAATTAAATTCGTGCTAAAATGGAATTTTGCTTCACATGTTAATATCAAACATTAAACCTGTTATGACAAAATAGTATTAGTAATTTTGGCGTGACAATAATAATAACGAATTTTTAAATGAAGTTCTCTTATGTGTCCCCGCGCATCCGTTGTAGCAAAGCTTGACTGTAGCATTAGTACGCGTTAACTTAAAAAAATTTAAAATAATGTTACTCATAGCCGTCTAATAACGATGAAAAAAGGGAAGGTCCTATGATGGGAAAATATTGTGCGTATAGAGACCCGCCCTTTCTAACCTGAGCTGTATTTGGAACTCATAGTAAATTTTTTAACAAATAACGCAAACATTTGGATTGATTGATCTAAACCATAACAATCGCATCATGTGGTTTAAATGTTGATTAATCTAAATATAACTATGACATCATATGGTTTAAGATGTTTTTTATTAAATGGTATGCAAACAATGAATAGCATTTGATTAATGTGATCTAAATATAATCAATAATGCATTATTTATAGGTTTATTCTTGTTACAAGTAACATAAAATCTTTACATGGTCTGGAAGCTATGCTAAATGAAGAAAATTCCACAAGAATTTGAAGATAAGAGAGAATCAGTTTGCTTAAATGGGAGATCTTCCAGTCTAACATGTTCAATCTCCAATTTAGCCAAATGAAAATAAATTAAGTTAATTAAAATATTGAACTGGTTTATTTCATTACACTTCTTCTTGTCCATGTAGCTTTATAAATCCATATTTAGCTAAATTTGTTATACCTTTTTCAAATTGCTCCATTCTAGAGTTTGGCAAAGATTATTTCATTTGGCATTGTTAAGTAAAATCATCAACCATGTCATTTCCAGATGTCCAAGTAGTGAAAAGATTCTATAATTGTAAAGCCAATACAACCTTCACAGAAATCCATCAGGGCATTTTGTTGATTTCCACTTGTTACATTCTTTTGGTTTGCCAATATCACCTCTCGCGTTGCTTAATTCAAAATCATGAATGAACGTTCTTTACAAAATTCATTTTCAGAAAGTTCCTAATTTTTTTTACCATTGAAAAAAAAAAAATATTTTCTATTTCTTTAACAGAGAATTATTGCTCGATTCATTGTGAATTTTTTATATACAGATGCCCTTCTTTCTGGTGATAATTCGTGATACGTGATCGAATTAGATAAAATTGTGGGGGATCGTCATTATTAAATGATATATTTCGTAGCAACCCTGAATATCAGAAAATGTAGCACAGCATGCACTCATTAAATTATCTTTCTTTTTTTTTTTTTTTTTGAACAGTAATGTTTATACCGACTGATTATTTTGCCAATTTGCAAACTTATTTAAGAATGTTTGACACGAAATTAACCGATGAATTAAAAATAAATTTTTATAATAAAAACAATAATAAATTGATTGGATCAATTGATAATTAATTAAATAGATTGTAATAAATTATTATATTGGTGCATTATATTGATGCATTTATGATTTATGACCTTCGTTATATTGGTTTTATTACATTTTTAATTGGGTAACGTGTAACGAACAATAAAAAGAGGTTCATTCCAACAAAATTTCAATATTGTAGGTGATGAAGCAGCAGACAAAGGCGATGAGGAAGAGGTAATATCAGACATAATGATGGTAGTAGTGATGCTGATCTGATGATGTTGTTGATGGTTGGTTTTTCTTATCAATTTTTGCTATGCAAATATCTCAAGTAAAATGCTTGGCTACCTTTTGGAAATCTCTTTTTGTGCCAAAAAAAATTACACATATTTTCATTAATAAAAATATAGATAAATATGTGTATAAATAATTAAAAATATTGGCTCCTAAGGTTTTTATGTCCAGTAAAACGCCTCACATAAAATAATAATAATAATAATAATAAACTTTCAGAATGATATATATATATAAATTTATTATATTAGTGGTGCTGATCTATTAAATTATTTCTTGAATTTATTTAACAATCCTCTTGATTACTATCTCTTTCTTGTATAAACCTAGAAAGATTTGACAAATCTGTAAGTACACTTTAGGGCACAAATAAACAAAGAAGGCTCTTTTATGAAGTGACAAATGCTTTTCTAAAGTTCTTCCTTATCTACTTTTACTTTCATTTTGCCATCTAAAAGCTCTGTTTGTTTGGTTGGTCTCTTTACTTAAACTGTTTACTTAACAGTTATACGTTTTCAGTAATGCTTTAACACAGTACAATAAAATGGTAACGAGCAATAATAACTTTGGTCAATAAATGTCTCACTTTATATTTTGTGGACTGATAATAACTGTTAACACTTTATACTTTGCTAAACAATTTAACGCTTACTTTTATGTCCACACTCAAACATTTAACTCTTTTGTGAAAACTTGGGCAAAAGTCAAACCTTTGCTTTGCAAATAACTAAAACTTTGGGGTTCTATACCCCGATAATCAAAGAACAAATAAACCTATTGTTTAATTTCTAACATCAAAGTGTCATTCAAAGACGAAGTGCAAAAAACATGTATCGATTAAAGTTGTTTATTTAGAAAAATTATGACAATCAAAACATTGCTTAAATTTCAAAAAATTTTGAATTCTCAAGTAATCTGTCAATCCGAATATGACTGACTGGATTTTTTTATGGATGTCTAGATTGATTGGAACAGGCTCTCTACTCATGAACTTCTGCATTTATGCGACGCGCAAGATTCTCATCTCAATTCCATGTACCCAATCATTCAATTCGTCATAAAAATTAGTAAAACGTCTTGGGGATTGACTGATTCCCGAAAGGTGTAGACCTTTTACAATTCAATTAATTTAATCAATTAACATTGCAAAAATATTATAAAAGCCTTGCATGATACCTTTGATAATTTTTCATTCATTTGTAAGAATAATAGGATTATTATTTATAGCTTGTACAGTGCCTTTAATATTATAAAAAATTTGCACCAGAAGGTAAACAAAGCACAACTGTTACAAAGTCATAACCAAAAATTGTTAAACGATATTTTTATCAACCGAGTGGGCTAGGTCATCAGGAAACCCAATTTCATATGTTTCATGTATACATGAAGCCGAAATTAAAACCCAAAAGTCGAAACATTTCGACCTGAGAGCAACAGTCGAATTAAAAGTCGAAATGGTCAAAATTACATGCTTCAAATTGTCATAACTCGGTCGATATACGGTTGTTTGCTTAAAATAGCTACCATCCGAATTCTCTCGATGAGATGAGTCTAATGAGATGTAATTGAATAGCTGAGATATTTTGGTTTGCCATATATCTTACAATAACTCGCCATTTATCGATGCTGTAAACATTACAATACCATTATTCGGATCCTCCTTATGAGATTATTCTAATGGACTGTGCTTCATTAAATTTGGATCACTGGTTCTCAAGATAAATGATTTCGAAAAATTATTAATTATAATAAATCATGTGATATGACATAATTTAAATTCTGTATGCTTATTATTATTTAATTATTTTATGTTAAATATATTTTATAGCAAATAATCTCTATTTATTATTTGTTTAAAGTTTGCTCAAAATAGTCTACAAATAATATTTGATTTAGTGTATAAAATACATGAATGTAGATAATACAATTATTATTATATTTAGTTTATATTTTATATGTATTATATAATGTGAATATATCACAAATATCAAACAAATAAAATAATTAATTAATTATAAAGTATATTTTGGTAAGCTCCAAACAAATTGATTCAAATTGAATTTTTTTTTTAATGTCATATTAATAATACTGTATATTAAGTCTTAAATTGATATTATATTATATTAAATTCCTGTTTGTTAATATTGGGTGTGTATTCACGAATTAATAAAGTTGGTTTTTAATGAACATTATGCATAAAATTACTATTACCAACTTTAAACTCGATTAATTTTGATGACGATAACAAATTAAATATAAATTTACAGTCGCACAATTCATTAATGATGACTGCATGCATTGTTCAAAATGACGCCTCTTTAATAATAACCTTTTTCGATTTCGAAACCAATTTCCAAAGGCAACTATATAGAATTCAAATTATTTATATTGGTTCTATTCGAATTGTTCGTTTATTCTTGTTTATTCGAATTATTTATTTTATTCAAATTATTCGTTTTGTTTGTTTATTCGTTTATTCGAATTATTCATTTATTCATAATAATAACGAATAAAACAAATAATTTAAATAAACTTTATTCGAATAGAAACCCTAGCAGATTTGAGTGAAATGATTGATTAATACAATCATGTAACATATAAAAACATAGTTATATTTATTCTAGCATATATTGTGGATATAATTTATGACAACTAATAAGTGCTTTAATAAAAAGATAATGACCGACATATTTATATTAAATATGAAAAAACTAATTTTAGACATTCTATATGTT